AAAAATTCTTCATAATGCGGGTAAACATTTGTTATGGACCATGTAGCTATACTTCAGCACTGATTCCTTTCTTCCTTGGCGCAGAAGTTGAATCAGCCCAAATGGCAGCTCAGCAAACAGTCGAGCCCTGCGTCGGCGGTTGCGCAGTGGCCATGAGTAAAACACGGAGCAGATTGGCTCAGGCCGGATATGTATTTTCGTCGCATCTTGGTCCGAGTTTCCATCTTGGGGCTTAGCATGTGCTATCCATTCTGAATTAGATACTGTGTCCATCAAAGGAGGGGGGATGAAGGAGTCTTTGTTCATGTTGTTTAGCCGCGAGGGAGGCTCACAATTTTCGTCTCTTTCATGCGGCGCATGAAGATGGAACGTTTCCAACGCCAAGAATTCCTCACAAACTAACAACCATAAAGAAAATGGCATTAGCCCCATCAACCTTTGCATCAATCTGCCCAAGGATCTGATATGAGATGAAGCGGAACCAAGATGCACGGAGCCCCATGCTTGGCCTTTGCAGCCCACGAGGCCGGCCAGCCGTGTCATGGCATTTCGATTTTCAAGATGTGAAGTCCAGGATGCGATTCCATTCGTGATGTTTCAATCTCAGATTGGCTTCACCAGCCGGGAAGGTCCGCTTGGCCGCACCTACCTCAAGTGCTACGGCTCAACACGTTGAGCCTCAGGCAGGTTTTCTCACTACAGCCTGGCTTAGGCTGAGCACCGTCAGCATAACAGATATTGATGAGCAACCTCCAACAAGCAGCCTACTACCTACGTAGGTAGGTACCTTTGGCATACATCATCATGGTGCAACTTTGCCAACAGCATCCGTTGACGTCGGGTTATCACTCCCTGCAAGTGCATAGATGGAAGTTCCACACCCGGTCCTACAGCAATTGCCGCTGGCAACTTCGCCATGACTGGGTCCATCTTTATGCGCTGGACAATTCCTTTAGTTCTTTATGCAAGCACTTTTTGTATACCGGTCCAGCCTCTTTTACGAGACAAGATGAGGCTCCCCGTAGCGCTTACAGGGCAAGGCCTGACCTGGCTACCTTATTTCTGAGATTTGAAGAATGCCAATTCAACATCATGGTGTCGGGGCTGTTGATCTCGACACGCGTATGCACCCCCCACCCTCACTATTTTGAACACTTCAAATGCCACGGCTATTCGGGATCAAACGCTGATCAAACAGTGACAGAAAGCGTCTCTCCCCCTATACTTCGGGCATATCACTGATCTTGGAGCTTTCGCACCTAGACTCACCTGTCATGACTTGGTCCCGCCCTCTAAATTACACCTATTCGGCTGATCCGACTCGGTGCCACGGCCAAAATTGGTGTCACGAAGGATCCCCCCCCAGTGCTGGTCGAACTAGGAAATCTTCCAGAATGTGAGGGTCAAGGAAACAGCAACTAAAAATTTCAAGGCCAGGCAGCTTCTTATTACTAGTACACCATTGTACAACCCGCACTTTGGTGATCCGTATAGCTTGGCCCTTGTGGACACGATCCCTGTCCAGCAATTTAGGATGCCAACCTTGGCGAACCACCGATTCACGCCTCGGCCAAGCAAATGTCTCCGAGGACGTTGGCTTATGCGACCAGGCAAAAAAAGACACGGCTCTGGGAAAATTCTTTACGGCGGTAGTTCCAGTGGAATGTACAGAGTACGCCAGCGGCATTCATGTAACTACGTAGATCTCGCGAATCCCTTCATTCTCGATCGGCATGCAACCCACTGTACCTCGTGCGCCGTACACAATTTGGAATCGGCATCATATGCACCCCAGGCACCCAGTATGCTAAAATACACGTGCCGATGGCACGCCGTCACAGGGCCACCTCACCACCATTCTCTTGTCCAGAGGCTAAATTGGATGTTGTTCCGTTGTTCCTGCATTAGCTTGTTTTGGCGAGCTATGCCCAGACAATACCCAGCATGAAACAGTGGCAATTTGGCATTCGGCTAAGTTCCCAGTCCAGTCATTATGGCTTTTACAAAGACCTCACGTCATAATGCCTGCCAACTCACAGGGGTGTCAGATTGGGCAAAACGTCTGCAGACTGCTAACAGTAGCATCGGCTCGCCCATGTTATAGCAAGCTTCTCTGCATTGCACCAAGAGAATTATAGACGTTTACAGTGTCAGAGGAGACAAACATTTCTACTTCCACGGCCAGCGCATCAATTCATAGTTTTTTGTCGGTGCCCCCGAGCCGGCGTATGTTGTCACACTGATTTTCACACATAATATGCATGCTAGGATCCTGTACTGCGAATTGTCTGAATAAGGCCTCGGCTTGGGGCCCTGGTCTCTCTCTCTCTCTCTCTCTCTCTCTCTCTCTCTTTTTTTTTTTTTGGCCCACCATGCCCCGTCGGACAGTAACGACCTTTTTCCAATCAGTACTTATCCAAACATCAGCTAGCAAATTCAGTCTGGTTAAAGGGCCAACTCATGTCCCTTGTTTACTAGGATGGCCATGACTACCACTTTGCCATGCAATACAATACATAGGTGTTGCGCACCGCCGCCTCACGCGATTTTGCAGACTGTCGCAACCCAGATGTTCTTCAACGCAGCCCCATAGACCGTTTGCAGGCCCCAGCAGGATCACAAGAGCCCCAGAAATGGAGCTGGCCGAAGCAGGTTGGCAGGACACAACTGATTCGTGATCCCTGGCTCTTCTTTGGACGATGGTTGTGGAACACATGCCCAGTCGCCTCAACGGCGGAAGCAGGCCCCTGCCGTCCCGGTACTATTCATGATCTCGCAAAGTCCGATACATGGGCGGATTGCAGGTGGCAGTCTCAGTTAACTCGTTTAACAGCAATCTACTCCGTACTCCGTACGCATCTCATTATTACTGGTACATGCTTGCATCGTACAGAGCTATGCATACGCAACATCGATTAACGACTACGGCTGACTCTGCTCTCATAATACTTCGGTGCCTTCAAGGTCGCGGTCCCCCAATACTCATCCGCGTAAGAACTTTAGGGGTAAAGGGGCGAGATAGGTCCTCGATGTCGTATTCAGACCTTCAGTAGTGCCAGAATGCTGTCCTCGACCGTCGATTGATTAGACTGGTCCACATGTATTACGGCCCTTTTCTTGACAGCCATAATAATGGCAAGGCGCACATTAATACTAAATCATCCACCAAGCACTCGGCACGGAAATGCAGGACTCGCTGATCCGTGGACAAGGTGCTGTTGCAGGTAAGGCGCATGAAGACAGCGGCAGCCTTGTTCCAAGCTGCCTTCTAGAATCATCCCGAGCCACAATGCTTACCGCAAAGCCGTGGAGCATGCATACATACAGTGGGAGGCCGCGCCGCGCCGTTGCACTGCTTAGTAGCATCGTTGCAATAATGTGTCAGTCAAGAGTCAAGTTGCGCGTCCATGCGCATGACGGACACCTCTTGATGCTCGTTGTGTCAACGCCATGACACGACAACGCTCGGCCGCATCTCAGGCACGCTCTCTCCAGTAACAATTGTGTATCAAGACTCACGCCACAAAACTGGTCAAGACCAAAATTTGCCACAGGAGTACGGGGCGTCGTCAATCATCATTCCGCGTTGTCTGGGGTTGCCAGACGGCCGACGTCTTAGTCCCACCCCTAACAAGGATCAATGTTCTTTGACCTAGCAGGCAACCAGGCAGTCTAGCAGTCTGGCAGTCTGGCAGGGTACCGGGGAAGCCTTCCGCTTCGTTCGGCCCATTGTTATTAATTTTAAAAAAAAAATTTCAATCGACCAAGTCCTAGCGAAAGGGTCTTTGGCAGTGGACCTTGGGACTTTGGGTGCTTGGCCGTTCAGGGGCACGAATTGGGCAAGTGGTCTTCTGGAACGCGGCATCAATCATCTTTAGATGAAGTGGATGTCATCTCCAGGGGAAGGCCTTCTAGAAATGAATGTCACTTTCCATCTCGAATCAAGTTGAAACCACGCTGCGTTGTGAGAATGGGAGACGTGAAGTATGGAGTAGGTAGTACAGAGTATTTGGCAGCCAAATCTTACCCGGTGTTAATCCCCTTCCTTTACCATGGACAGCTGAAGACTGGTATTGCTCGAGGTCTTGGTTGGTCGTGTGTCTGCATTTGGCTAAAGTTGCGACTACAATAAGCAAGGTGCAAATGCTGTGACTTCAACAGCTGAGCTGTCACAATACTCATATTGGGAGGGATATTCCGCCCCCAATCTGCGCAATCAAGAATTTTCTCGCAACGGCTCGTTATGTTCGATGCACTTGGTTACAAAATAGCCAGTGGCCGTATTTACATCATCGTTGAGTGTGTTGTTGACACGTTTCCAAGTACAGGGTAGTTGGGTGTGAGTACTTCTGAGATTACCAGGTGTACCTACCCGCCTTAGGGTAGGTAAGTACCTGGGGAAGTAGGAAGAGATACAATACATTGCAATAGTACGGAGTAGGCGCCTGGGCATCTACCTACTCAAGTACTTGAGTAGTTTTACGCTTCTATGCCTTGCTGTATCAAGGCTGACACTGGTCGGGTTTGGACTCTTATCAGTGCTCTGGTTGTAAAGGCTTGAGAATGGCTGGATTCGCGAAACACATGAAACGCATGCTTTTTTCAACCACAACCGAATTTGCTGCACCACAACCGACGCTGCAAACCGAACAATAAACACACGACTAAAACAAGCACGCCATAAAACACATATGCAAGATGAAGTGCCCGAGTCTCGCGCAACGCAAGGGCTCGCGGCTCTGCTAACACGGTACATCTAGACGCACCAATCCAAAACGTAAAAAAAGGTATACTGCTAACCAGCCGAACCTCCGCCCCAACTAAGCCCTCCCCATCTCGCCCCGCCATCCGTGACGCAGCTTCCTGCGGTTCGTTCGGCCTCGTCGCAGCTCCCAAGCTGCTCCATCTACAAACATTGAAGCATACGTCGCCAACGTCGGGCCTTTGGCACGCCTCGTCTTCACCCTGCCGACCCGGAAAAAATCCACGCCAAACGAACCATGTCCATCATCCAGCAGCACACGAGCGCCACGCTCAGCGACGCATGGCGGACCACCAACATCGACGCATACAATGAAGACTCGAGCGTCAACTTCGACACCTCGACATTGCACCCGCCACAGCCCGAGATCAGCGAGGCCGAAGCCCGCCAACTATCCGGCCAGGTCAGACAGTTGCTGAGGGGTGGCGACGCCGAGGGCGCACTGAGGGGATGCTTGGAGACGCCCGTTTACAACGGCACCGAGGGGGCAAAGGTGCGTCGGGGAGGACCCTGGGACCCTATGTCTGCCAGCGTGGGAGGCTGTGTACTCTCTTTTTCTTTACACTTTGCAAGAGGGGACATTTGCTAACGGGCGGGCGGGGAATATAGGATGCACATCTCCAGACCATCATCGAGGTCCTACAGTCGATCAAGGCGAGTGACATGAGCCCTCTGCTCAGGGGCATCTACGAATCCCCAGGCGGCAGCGAGTGCCTCGACGTTCTGATGAAGTACATGTATGGAATCCCGCCACGTTCCTGGACCACATGCATCGGGAACGAGATGTGACTAACGGGCCCGGTAGTTACAAGGGAATGGCCATGGGCCAGCCTAAGTCAGCGTCGAGAGTGACCCCCCAGTCCACCGGCGGCTTTGGCTCTCGCTCTGGTGTTTCCAACGAGCCTGCGTCCGCGGCGATGAGCGTCCTGCTCAGCTGGCACGAGAAGCTTGTCGAGGTTGCGGGGCTGGGATGCATTGGCCGAACCATGACGGACTGGAGGAGGGTGTGAAGGATTGCCGGGGCTGGCATGTTTGTAGGGTGCTGGGAAAAAAAGGCGTAAACGACTCTGATGACACTGGTGCAAAATGGAATAATAGAGGTTACTCCTACAACACGAGCAAAGCGCAAGATTTGGCGTCTCGGCCGGTGTGGGTATTGGCACATGCCTCGTGGCTATGGTACATGACTGTGTTTTACTGCTTCTTCTCCAGGACATCCTTCAAGTTGACTTCGCCGCTGCCCCTGGCCAGCGGCTGCGGCTGGTCTTGACCCTCCTTCCAGCCTATCATGTAGATGATTCTAAACGTGGCCGGGATAGAACCGTCTGGGTTCCCGTGCAATTCTCTATAGATGGCTTCATTCGCGAGGAGAACGTCTCTCCGGATGGGGCCCATTTCCCTGCCCAGGATGGCATTGTTCTCCCCCATGGCCTGGAGGTCTCGCATCAGCGCAAAGGTATCCGGGTAGTCGACAATGATGTCGTCCACGTCGACGGTCAGCATTTTGAACCCAGCCTTTTGCAGCAAACCGCCGACGTCCCGCACGTCCGCCAGTGGTGATACGTGGGGGGACAGGCCGCCCCTCCGCTCCAGATCGGCGAGCTGTAGGGATGTGCGGAGCTCAAAGAGCGTATCTCCGCCGAGCATGGCTCCGATGAAGGGTGAGTCTGGTTTTAAAATGCTGTTGATCTGGGACAAGACGCCGGGCAGGTCGTTGATCCAGTGCAGGCTGAGCGAGCTCATGACCAGGTCAAAGGAATCTGGCCCAAAGGGGATGCTCTCTTCGTCCTCCAGGACTTGCCGCGTAATGTGGAGCTTCCTGTTGAAGTCGTGGTCCGAGTCGCGGTACAGGAGAGTTTCGGAGGAGTCGGCGGCGATTAATTCGGATATGCGCGCTGATAGAGGCGGTGATGTAGGCGTGGACGGGTCGGGGTCGGGGTTCTCGCGGACGAGCGCTCTGGCTAGGTTGCATGAGTTGGCGCCCAGGTCCAGGACTTTGGGAAAGTGTCGGTTGATGTCCTATTTGGAGACGAGGGGGGAACCGTTTGTTAGCAATTGTAGCAATTTGAGCAATGAAGGCGTGTTGAAGGCCGTGGTACACCGTACAAGTAGTCGCTCAGAGACTCGGACGGCCACCTCATCCTTCAGGTAGTCTGCCTGCCGGCTTTCCTGGGGCCTGGAAGCTGCGCGCTCCTTTTGAAGCCATTTCGTCCGTCGGTTGAAGACTTGGAACCGCGGGGCGCCCGTGGAATGAACGGCGTATGTTCGTCGGCTGGTGGCTTGGGGAGAAGGGCCGGACAAGGGCGGCAGTCTATGCAGGACGTTGCCCAGCGGGCGTGGTCGCATGCATGCTGACATTACATTCGGATGGGTACGCAGACAATGCATGCGGCGGAAGACGGCGGGAGGCGATGCTATTCAATCCATGGATGTCAATGGTGCAGCTGCGCTTTACTGTTGAGCTCGATGGATTTATTTTACGCTCGATATTTGAAGGTTGGAGGTTGCCGTCCATGCTGACCAATGAAGTGCGGGCTGGATAGCCGTTCGGGGACGTCAGCTTGGCATTCAACGATGCGCTGCCCACATCAGTCATCAATTGATCCGTTTCCAGGACGCATGAGTGGCCTCGGTGGCGGCGACAGGCGCCAATGGGCAGCACCATCCCCTGTTGGCCGCCCAAGGCGCCTCGTGCCAGGCCCGTACTTCAGGATACTGGCCTGCTGAAGAACGGGACTGGTCAGTTACCCGACATCAACCTGACGGAGGGTACGGAGCACCGAGTAGACCCCTCCCTCTTCAAGATCGTCAGAGCTACCAAGCTCAGCAACTTGCCATCCGCCCGCACACGTGGGAGCTTCAGTTTGTCGTGCGCCTGTGGCAAGTCTGTAGCGGAGATATCCAGAGGTCAAGTATAGGTTGGCCGACGGCGCAACCCTGGAAGGCGGCGATTTGGGAGAGGAAACGTTGGAACGTTTGCACTTTAGCCCCTGGCCGCGTATCCCGCCCATCGTCCATCGCCGACATTCAACACTTGGACGCTTGGGCACAACGAGCGACAAACGACAAGCGACAGCCGAACCATCCGTTGCCATTTCGCGCCAGGCATTTGGCTATGCCATCGGACCTGCACCTAATCGACAATTAATTCCTATCCTCACCGAAATTATCCCGCCGACAAAACTTGCTCGCCGTGGCGTCCTAGGGAAAGGAGACGTCAGCCAGGGGCTGCCCGACGACTTCCACCATGTCGGCTCCAGGAAGCGGCTTTCTCGGCCGCTCAAGCAGCAGCAACGCCAACATGCGAGGCTTGGTGCAGTTCATCGCCGATTTGAGAAACGCCCGAGCCCGTGAACTGGAAGAGAAGCGAATCAACAAGGAGCTGGCCAACATTCGGCAAAAGTTCAAGGATGGCAACCTCAGCGGCTACCACAAGAAGAAATATGTCTGCAAGCTGCTGTACATTTACATTTTGGGTTGGAACGTCGACTTTGGCCACCTCGAGGCAGTCAATCTCATCTCGGCACAAAAGTATTCAGAGAAGCAGATTGGCTACCTTGCCATGACGCTCTTCCTCCACGAAAAGCACGAGCTGCTACATCTTGTCGTCAATAGCATTCGGAAGGATTTGTTGGATCATAACGAGCTTTTCAACTGCTTGGCTCTGCATGCCATTGCCAATGTAGGAGGCCGGGAGATGGGCGAGGCGCTTAGCTCCGAGGTTCATCGACTGCTGATCTCACCGTGAGCCTTCATCAGCTGGCTGACCCATCAACAGTTTCACGTGCTAACATGGCTGCAGAACTTCAAAGTCGTTTGTCAAGAAGAAGGCTGCCCTGACTTTGCTGCGTCTCTACCGCAAATATCCCGACATCGTCTCTCCCCAGTGGGCCGAGCGCATCATTCATCTCATGGATGATGTCGATCTGGGAGTTGCCCTGTCTGTCACGTCGCTTGTCATGGCTCTTGCGCAAGACAACCTCGACGGATACAAGGGGGCTTATGCAAAGGCAGCCGCGCGACTAAAGCGCATCATCATTGATGGCGAATACACCATAGACTACCTCTACTACAAAGTTCCGTGCCCTTGGCTACAGATTAAGCTTTTGAGGCTTCTTCAATACTTTCCACCCTCTGGTATGTTGTGCTCTTGTGTCCGGTGTGCATGGTTTTCCGTGCTAATGTGCGCAACAACGCAGAGGACACTCATGTGCGAAACATGATTCGAGAATCTTTGCAGCGAATCCTAAACCTGGCAATGGAAGCCAACAAGAATGTTCAGCAGAACAACGCCCAGAATGCAGTCTTATTCGAAGCCATCAACCTAATTATCCACCTTGATACCGAGCATGCGCTCATGAAGCAGATTTCTTCCCGACTGGGCCGGTTCATCCAGAGCAGAGAGACAAATGTGCGATATCTCGGTTTGGAGGCCATGACACATCTGGCAGCTCGAACAGAAACCCTCATACCCATCAAGCAGCATCAAGACATTATCCTCGGATCCCTCAAAGACAGAGATATTAGTGTTCGCAGAAAGGGGTTGGATCTGCTGTACAGCATGTGCGACGCCACCAACGCCAGGATCATTGTCGGCGAATTGCTGCACTTTCTTCAGAACGCAGACTTTGCCATTCGAGAGGAAATGGTTCTCAAGATTGCCATTCTCACGGAGAAATATGCCACTGATGTCCAGTGGTACGTCGATATTTCGTTGCGTCTGATTGCCATGGCTGGTGATCATGTCAGTGACGAGGTCTGGCAACGAGTAATTCAAATCGTCACCAACAATGAAGAGCTCCAAGTTTATGCGGCGCAAACTGCTTTGCAGTACGTCAAATCAGACCACTGCCACGAGACATTGGTCAAGATTGGAGCGTATATTCTGGGCGAATTTGGCCACTTGGTCGCCGACCAGCCTCGCTGCAGCCCGATTGAGCAATTCATGGCTCTCCAGGGGAAGCTGTCTGGTTGTTCTCCCAGCACTCGGGCCATGATCTTGTCATGCTTCATCAAATTCGTCAACTTGTTCCCTGAAATCAAACCACAGTTGCTCCACACATTCGAGGTGTACAGTCACACGTTGGACTCGGAGATGCAGCAGAGAGCGTGCGAATATCTGACTCTGGCGAGCATGCCCACTGACGACTTGCTGAGAACAGTTTGCGATGAGATGCCACCTTTTCCCGAGCGAGAGTCTGCACTTCTTTCCCGACTCCACCAGAAGCACGCAAACACCAGTGACCGCCGTACGTGGGTCGTCGGAGGCAAGGATGCCAATTCTGACGGCACCGAGCTCGGTATGGCAAAGCCGGGAGGCCTTAAGAGGACCTTTAGCTCCGCTGCCGCCATCAACGGTGGAAGAGCCAATGGGAGTGCCAATGGTGCCAACGATCTTGCGGGCCTGAATATGAACGCCCCATCGCCGTCGGAGCCCAAGATGCTCAAGGCTCCTAACCTGGCGAGCGCTGCGCACTTGTCTCCTGGCTGGGAGAAGGGTTTCGACAGACTCATGGTCCGATCGGATGGTATCTTGTACGAAGATGGTCAGGTTCAAATCGGTGTCCGATCCGAATGCCGCGGACAGGCGGTTTGCATTATTGCCTACTTTTCCAACAAGTCACCGTCGCCCATGACTTCCTTCACAACCACCCTGGATCTTGACGAGAGCGAGAAGAGCAAACTGACTTGGGATGTCAGAGAGCTCCCCGACAGTACGATTGCCCCGGGGGGACAAACGAAACAAGTCACCGTGTTTGAGTCCAAGAAGATTTTCGACAAGAGCCCGACCGTGCGAATCAGTTATCTCGCGGGCGCTCTGCAAGCGGTGACGGTGAAGCTGCCCGTCGCCGCACACAAGTTCATGGACCCTGCGGATCTTTCCGCCGAAGACTTCTTCAAGCGCTGGAAGCAGATTGGGGCGGGATCTCGCGAGGCACAGGCGATTTTCGGGCTCACAAGCGGCAAGAGCAACACGAGAGAACTCACGGAGAAGTTTGTTGTCGACACCGTCGAGGGCCTCCGATGGCGTGTGCTGGACATGGTTGACCCCAACCCAAAGAACATTGTTGGCGCCAGCGTGCTGCACACCTCGGAGGGAGGAAAATTTGGCTGTCTCTTGCGTCTGGAGCCCAACTATTCCAGCCAGGTAGGGGGACCCTTGCTGGCAAACCCGCATAGTGATTGCTCTGACTGACAAACGTTGTAGATGATCCGACTTACCATCCGCGCCACAGACGACTCAGTACCGGCAATCATGTTGAAACTCACGCAGGAGAGACTCGCGCAGGGGGTCTCAACTATCCCCGAGCACCGTGAACCGCCCACACGTCAGGAAATTTCAGAAGCGTTTGCAAACACCATGGTTACGTAGACGGGTGCCAAGTCATCATGTCCTGTGGAAGGATGTGCTTTGCGGGTTCGCTAAGCACAGGGCGGTTTTTGGAACGGAAAGGCATTTTGGAGTTGTGGAGAAAGTTTGACTTTTGGAATGTGCATACTACTTAGTTAATGGTTGCTCTGCATGGGAAGGTTGTGAAAAGCATAGTCCGGCCGCAGAGAGCATTTGTTTTATGTGGACCGATACCAGGATTTCAATGAGATTTGTCTTTTTTTTTTCTTTTTCTTTTTCTTTTTTTCTTTTTTTCACTCTTGACGTCCATGATTCCAGTTGGCCGCCGTGGCTCTCGCCAAATCAATCAACGGTGCGGGCTGGGAACATGTTGTCCCTGCATGTATGTACAGCACCAATGGGTCCGACCTACGGGCTACTCCTTAATCTTTGCATCGGCCTTTGCGGGCCTCGTGCCGAAAATCGTACTGCCAACCCTCACCTCGCCGCTGCCCAAAACGACGGCGCCCTCAAAGTCCTCGCTCATGCCCATGCTCAGCTCCAGCCTCGCGTCGTCGAGCGCCAGCTGCCTGGCCACCAGATCCCTCTGCTGCTTGAGCGCGATAAAGTCGTCGTTTTCATTGTCCGCGGTCGTGGCCTTGCTCCGCGCGATGGCGCCAATGGTCATGAGCCCCAGGAGGTGCAGGTTCGGGCAGTTGCTGATGATTTCGCGGCACAGCGCCACGGTTTCCTCGCCCGGGGCGCAGCCGGACTTGGCTTCCTCCCCGGACGTGTTGACCTGCACGTGGACGGACAGCTTGGGCAGCGACGGGTCCGAGGCGAGGAGGGCGCCGCGCGTGGTGTTGAGGAGGGCTGCCTTCTTGAGGGTGTCTACGGATGAGACGCAGAACAGGTTGGGGATCTTGGCGAGCGTCTTGCAGTGGCCTGGGAGGTGTGTCAACGGGCCGCTGTGGACCTGTCGATGAGAAGCAGGGGAGTAGCAGTTGTTACCTGATTGTAAGCCGCCGATAAAGTGCCATTGTATGGTCTTGGGGAGGAGCTGTGCCTTTTGAGTGAGTTCCTGCGTGTAGTTTTCGCCAAAGTGACGGTGGGAGGCGGGCGCCTGGTGGAGGGCGAGGATGTCATTGGCGGGCTTGAGCTTGGATACGGCGACGAGCCTGACCTGCGTGTGGTGTGTCAACTGACGGTGTCGTGCCGCTGGTATTTACCATGTGTGCCGTCGGGTGCCGCGCCTACTTACATCACGGCCATGGGCGAGGCCACCGATGCGCTCCTTGACAGACGATAGCTGCGAGATGAGAGCCTGGGCTCTCGTGGGATCGACGCGCATTTCCTCGGCTTCACTCATTTCCCCAGTCCTTTTCTCTCTCTCATCTGGCCTGGATAATTCGGCGGCAAGGCGGGACGAGGGTTTCGGAACGAGGTCAAGTTATCTGATGAGTTTTGGCTGGCGTTGGAGTCGATGAGTCGGGTCATCATCGGCTGGTCCACTTTCGCCATGTAGAACCACAACTTGTCACGTTTCCGTGCACATCGACGCCCTTTCAGATACATGCCCGGCAAACCAACCAGACCAATGAGTTTGTCATTTCTGCTTGATTGAGCAAGGAGCACCGGCAGCCGTTGGTTCGGAATCCACAACCGCAAATGGCGGAGCAGAAACATGCCCGCAGACGGACAAGCAGCAATGCGGCCACGCTCCCCGTCAGAAACGGCCAGCATGCGCGGAAGCAGTCCAAAGCAGCCGTACAGCCCAGGTCGGCACATACCGCCGACGACTTTCTCCACGACTTTCTAGACGCCTCATTTGATCCCGCCGCCTACCTGAATGCTACTTTGCCGCCTCTCGCCAGCAGGCAGGCGTCCTCCCAGCCGGCTGGTGCTGTGCCGCTCGCCGAGCTGTCCGCCCAAGCGCAGACCTTGCTATCGCAGCTGAATGCGCAGACTACCCGGCTGTCCAATACGCTGACACAGCTGACGGATGATATTTTGAGGAGCGGCAGCCGGCTGGCGTACGAGGTGGAGTTGCTGAGGGGCGAGACGCTGGGCCTGTCGGAAATGTTGCACGAGACGCTCAAGGAGGACATTGAGGTTTTCGTCCCGGGTGGTCTGCAGCCGAATCACGAAACGAGGAAGGAGGCCACCAGGAGGGGTGAAGCCGACGAGGACAAGGACGGCGTTGAGGCGTCGCCGCCGCCGGCTGATGCCGCCGCTGCCACCGGTGCCAACGACTCATCTGACCCGGAATACATCAAACAGCTACAGACACTCACACTGGTCCGGTCACGCCTCGAATCCGTCATCCAGACCTTTGGCGACGCCATGGACTTTACCTTCCCGCCGTCAGAAGTATCCGTCAGCTCGGGGTTCCTGTCCGTCTCCGCGCCGGAACCCGGCTCCGAGCAGCAGAGCTCCGAGGAAAAGGGGCAGCAAGTACTACGGAAGCTGCGCGACGAGATTGCGGGCTTTCTACAGCAGAGCGACGACCCCATCCAGGGCATTGAAAGGGCCGCCGCTAGGATCGAGGAGCTCAAGGAGCTGAGTGTCGTGTGGAAAGGCACGGCGGAGGAAAAGGGCCGCAGCAAGTTTATTGAGAGCCTGGCCAAGATGGTCGAGGATAGGCATAGGGACTTGGTGAGGGAGATGGACCAGGCGGCGAGGAGGGAGGGCCGGGCTGCGGGCTCACAAGGCAAGAAGCCTGGTGGCCAGGAGGGGGCTGGCGAGGAATCCAAGGTTCCTGGCGGGTTTGGACTCATTAGCCAGTTGCAGAAATTGAGGAGCGGGCTGTAGATGATGGGTTGTGACTGAATGGGCTTGTGGGCTGGTATATACGATATGTGTATCCATGGACTGAATAAGGATGTCGCTGGGACAGAGGTAAGTCGATGATGATGAAAACTTCTGGTCACTGGTGTAGAAAGAGGCGAAATATCCCCCTGGACTTTTGATATGGGAGACATATGACATTTGTCCATGGCAACTACTTGACTGACGTGGGCTGCGTTCTGGTCTGGTCCTTGAGCACCTGTGGTGCATTGCCAGTTGCGGCTATATACAATTTTGCAAGGCAGAAACGCATGGGCGCTTTTGAAGAAGAGCAGCCCCCTGATGAAACTACTAATAACTACTCGAGCACACCTTCTCTATCAATGCATGAACATGAAACAAGCGGGTGAATCGACCTCGCCGCGGCTCGAGAGAACCTACAGTGCATGCGTCGTCCATCAACATTGTCTCGCACTGTACGACGGAACCCCCCATGCCCCTTTGGAGTGGTTCAACCCGTACCAACCAATCACAGGGCTCCCGCTTGAGGACCCTAAGCGCAGGCGGCAGGCGGTGAGCGGGTCCGCGACTAACACGACTTTGGGCTTGACCTAGCCAAAGCCGCCTTGACACCGGGGCAGAACGAACGAGACCAGACTTGACTGACGATTGTTCGGCTGACCTGATTGCTACGCTGCTGCACTCGGCCACGCACCTTTGTCGTCAGTCGTCGTTGTTCTCGCTCCGACCTCACCGACAGGCGGTACTTTATGTTTCTCTCTTTCAATCGTTGCAGGCGCATTTTGCAGCACTGTTGATTTTGCTTTCTCGTTCCGCCGCTCGCTGTGGAATAGAGACTCACACCCGGAACAAGTTGTACTCGGGGCGCAGACGGGCAGAGCACCGAGTCTTTGCAACACCGCAATCGCTCCAGACTGCTCTGCATTTCCTCTTGGTGTGCCCGCTTTCTCCATCCTGCATCACTGGCAACTGAACTCTCTGCTTCGGACCGGCGGCCGCCTTGCCAGCTCTGAAGATGGCCGCAAGTGACAATACCGTCCCCTCCGCCCTTGGCGGCAAACCCGAGCGACGCTCTCCTCCTCCAGCGTCACAATCGAAGCGCGACAGAAAGAGACAGGCCCTCATGGAGCGTCTCTCCAGCATGACGGACAAGTTTCAGCGCGAACAGGACATGACGTACCGCGACCAGCTGCAGAAGATCCAGTACGAGATTGGCCTCGTGCAGCGATTCGATCCATACGACACAAACGCTTTGGAGGTTGCCGCTGAGCTGCAAAGAGAACACAGACAGACCCAGGGGCCTCCGGTCCATGCTGAGTCTGCCCGTAGCCTCATGGACATGGCTGGAATCAAGTTTCCCAACTTTATTGACGAAATTGAGGATTTGATTGAGATTCGTGATTTTCAACTGACGCAGTCAAAGGTGAGCAAAGACGAGAGACAAGACACCCCTCCCCCTCAAGAATAAAACAAGATGAAATGAAACAACGTTCGTTTGTGAATACAACTGACATTGACCTTGTGTATTCAGAATGAATATGAACGAAAAGTACAAGAGTACAAGAATACCCACGCCTACAAGGTCGAGACGGCCCGCCGCGAGCACATGGCCCTGACCAGCACCTTGCGCGACCGACTTATCAACACCCTGACACAAAAGAAGAACCGACTGAATAGGGAAAAGGAAGTGTTGGAGATTAACGATTCCAATGCCTTGCTCCTGAACCCGAATCACTTTTCTCTCACAAACCCTGGCAGCCCCGGCGGAACCCACGGCAAGCGTGCCACCAGACTTCGCAAGGATGCCGACGACCTTCAAATGTTTTCGGATAAGAAGCGAAAGCGAAATCCTGGAGAGGACGACGGATCGCCCGGCCCGATGCGCCGCGGCCTGGATCCCAACAGCACAACTCCCCTGTGGCAGTCGGAAAAGGCACGTGCTGTCGCGAAGCAAAACGGCCCCATTTATAGCATCGACAAGCTCTTCACCGACAAAGAATTGTCCCTGCATTACAACAGCGCGGCTTTGGCTGCGCATCAATACGTCCTGCGCAACCGTGTCAACGGCAACGCTTCGTCCCCCGACGACAGCGACTCGGGCAACGGGGACGACAACGACGCCGACTCTGTCCTGTCGGCGCCCATGATGGAACGCCAGGTATCACACGCCACCCGCAGCACCAGAGGCGGCGCAAACACAAACTTCTTGGACGACAAGATCCTCGGCGTGGAGGGCATTGCCAACTTTGAGGTCCCGGCCAACCTGGACCTGATGCATGCCCAAGAACCCCCCAAGATGCCCCCTCACGTGCCCCAGCAGTATCTAAAGCCGTACCCCAGATCTGCGGACCAGAACTTCCCGGTTCCACTTTCACAGGACGACATCATGTCGGACCTGTCCGTCATGGGCTTCCTCAAACAGTACGATCACTCTCACAAGCCCGGCGCACACCTTGACGCCCCGACTGGGCTGCGCAAAATCCTCGAAGCCGTCTCCATCCCGTACCAACAGGGCCGCTTCGTAGCCATCACCAGCGCCGCGCGGGAAGACCCCGAAAACTTTCGCGACTCCCTTGGGATCCCCACCAGCGGCCTGCGAGACCAACTGAGCCCTGGCCACGGCGGCTCCAACCAGTCTGTGGCGGGATACTCTGCGTCGGCCATACCCATGAGCAGACAGAGCAGCCTCGGCGGCGTGGCCATGAGCCGACAAGGAACGACGGGCAGCGGACGAGGCAGAGCCCGCCGCGGCTGAGAGCGCTGCTTTTGGATCCATCGGCATGGAGGGGATTTGTATTTTGCCATCCAGCGACGGCGTCTCTGTCCTTGCTACTGTTTTTTTTTTGTTTTTGGGCTGTCATAGGGGGCCAGTTAGAAAGATGTGCATGCGCTGGTTTGTCTTTGCATGACGCACTTGCTCTGTGCCGAGGGGAAGGGGGTTACATTGATTATTCTGGCTTTGGACAATAAGGGTCTAGTTGTTATGTTTCCCGGTCCCCCTCTTCTGTTCTGTTATGTCACAGTTTCCTAGGTTGACTTGATTGACGATTCTGGTTGGGCTACGCATTGCCATTGATGTTAGTTGGCAGGCATAGATGTTTACTCGGGGCGTTTAAATTGATCCACGTTGGCCAAGAGTTTTTCATTCCTTTCCATATTCCGACTCGATATTGCAAAAATGCCAAAACAAACAAAGACTCGCAGCGCAAGAAGATGCCCAATACTAAAATAATTCAAGACAAGAATATGCCTCCGTCACGGCCCAAACACCAAGGCCCTCACCTCGATGCTCTCCCTGCCCTCGGCACCCAGCCTCGTCCTCGGGTCGACAAAGGCCGTGTGCGGGACGCGGCCGCCGACGCGGCTCCCCGGCCGGAGCGACTCGCTGTCGAAGCACTCGAGCAGCAGCCTCTCGCTGCCCGTCATGCCGCTGAGGTAGTACCATTCCTGGCGGGGGCTGTAGCGCACGGCGGCCGTCTCGCCCGTGTAGCCGTCCGGGTAGCGGTGCTCGACGGGCACGACGTCGGCGGGGTCGAGGGTCGCGGCGCTGGCAAAGGCGAGCGGGAACGACTCGACGGGGCGGGCGTTGAGCGGGCGCCAGACGTTGACGATGCGGTGGCGCCCGGCGAGAAGGGCGTCGGCCTCGTCGGGGAAGTAGCGCCGCACGCGCTTTTCCACCGACGCGGCCGTCTGGTCGATGTGCACGCGGGTGACGGGGGTTCGGGGCGCGGCCGGGTCGGCGCGGCGGAGGGTGTGGTCGAAGATGTGCACGGCGCGGGAGCCGGGGATGGCGGCGAGCAGGAGCGCCTCCACCTCGGGGTAGTAGCGGGCGCGGATGGAGGCGTCGTCGGCGAAGGAGGGTTCCGACGAGGGCGCCACGTCGGAGATGATTTGGAAGGCGTCGCGGTCGAGGGTGAAGGCGGACTCGCGGCCGCGCACGTCGCGGATGAGCGTGTCCTGCACGTGGTCGCTGTAGTTGCGCTGGGGCTGCCCGGCCGGCGGGGAGTCGACGTAGTTGAATGGGCGCGCGGCCTTGTCGGCGGGCGGCGCGTAGAAGTTGAGCGCCGCCGTGACGTCGCCGCGAGGCACTTGGTCCGGGGAGGGGATGGCCATGGTGGGCGATGTGCCGGAGGTTTCGGGGCGGGACGGGCCTGTGACGAGAATGGTTTAATATCTAAAGGGTACGGTTATGTGATGGGCGCAAGGATGCAGGATGCGACTGAATAGCGGATTGTTGGCGTGTGTTGATGGCTGCGTCTGGTGCGTGAGTCCGGAGCCGTGGCGCTGAGGTCCATGACGAGCGCATCCATTTATACATGTACATGTTCTCGCCGGGTCTCAAGCCTCGGCCATGGCCCGGCATTAGATTTCAAATCAAGCAGTGAATCAATCGTCCGGGTAAAAACCAGGCGGCTCTACCCGCCTGCAGGGCGTACTGCATCGACGGGCCTGGCACGTCATGGCGACTGGGCCATTTGTAAGATGTGATTACTAAATTGCCTGTTTGGGTGGCCGCGGCACACGGCCGCACCGTTTGAGTGGGATGGCGTGCTCGGGATGCGCATTGCTTTGGCATCGGGCCCAGCACTCCTGGGCCGAGGATGCGTGAACGCAGTCATTTTTGCTCGTTTGGGCATTGGCAATGGCCTGCTGTGCCTGTCCTGTCCTGACCTGCGATGGCAAACAAGCTTCATGTTGCCAAGCAAATCCGGCCGGCAGGCAACAGTACCGTCGACATGCTTGGAGGCTAAATGCCCACAACATGGTACTTCAACTACAAACCACAACTACCGCTTAGAAAGCTAGCACTAGCACTACTGCAAACGTCGTGCAACACCTTGTTCACCGCACCTCGCCGTCAAACGGCAACCGCGCATCACGTGGTAGGTCATGCTGCCTGGTCCAAGCCCAGGCCCACTCTTTCTGTCAGGCTCCGGGTCATATCCGCACATATCCGGGAGGGGGGGAGCCAGGTGTTGGAGCGGGGTCGTCAGCTGGTGTCGATTGCGAGTCCCGCACTGTCCTCTTGTGCCGAGAACGCACCAAACTTCCCAGTGCGCGCCCCGCCAACCCCCTATTTAGCCCAATTTCTGCCAGCCACATTGGCCTAATTACAACCTCTGTTCTTCCACATGCGAGGCAAAGGCGGCCATTTTATCCAGGATCAAACCATTTGCACAAACTCCAATCGGGAGGCCCTGCCGCACAAGGAACCAATTGCGCGATTCCTGGTCTTGTTTCCGACGCGCAGTTTTGTCCTTATTGCCGGGGAGCACGAATGATGCGCCGCCCGGGAATAACGTCTGCGTTGTCGTCGTCCGTTGTCCTTCACGTCGTCGTCTCCACTCTGCCGCGACCAGGTCCACGACGGTAAGACGCAGAGTCCCAGTCCCGAATCCCAGGCCCGGGGAGTACCTGCGTCAGTACCGAGTAAAAAAAAAAAAACATCCATTCGAGCAATCCCCCCCCCCCGGACGGAGCTTTTCATGCTAGGACCTTGGTGACCCCTGGGTGTCATTGCCGCCCCCTGAGGCCAGGCCCAAGGGATGGACCAACAACACAGCAATGGAGTCAAGCCAGTTGGAGAGGCCATGCCATCGCCGCATGGGCTCGTCGTTCGGCCCACCCTGCCAGACAGAGACGTGAACCCTGCTACTATAGAGGAAGCTTACGTACGCTTCATCTTTTACTGCAATCCTGCGCTACAGCTGGACTGCGACACGGAGAGTTTGAGAGATGCCTTTCGGACGCCCCCACGCAGCGGTGGCAAGTCCTTTGACACCTTCATCATATACGACCTGGTGAGGAAGTTTTACAACAAGGAGATCAAGACGTGGACCGAGTTGACCACAACCCTTGGAGTTGAGCCGCCGGACCCATCCAAGGACGAGAGCGCGCAGAAAGTTGCCCAGTATGGCGTTCGGTTAAAGGTGAGTGCTGTCCATGTGCGCTTGTTCCTGTGAGGCTGACCCTGGCGTTAGAAATGGATGAACTCGATGCACGTCAAGGCCTTTTTTGAGTATCTCATGGACATACCTAATGACTACTGGATGAGGATCCCCACGGACCCCAACCCCATCGCAAGCGGCGTTCGTGATGGCGTCGCCCTTGAGGATGATATGGCCTTGAGGGCTTTGCTGCCTCATATACGGCCCAAGAGAGGGCGGAAGAGACCTGAGGCGGATGATGCTTTGGCGTCGCCGGCCCAGAGACAGCGACTGTCGCCGGCTTCTGCGGCAGAAGACTATTGTCAGGGACAGTCAGGGCCTTGGTCGGCTCATCCAGATGCCCATGGGGGCACGCCATTAGACGCCCAGAGAGCGCACAATCCCGCGTCATGGGGGCAAAACGAGTCTCTACAAACGCCTGTAGGCCGGTGGCCGCAGTCTGCCGTCACACCCACGACTAGGGGCTCGTTTTGGGATGACGCGCTTGAGCCTCGATCGGCAGCCGCTCCCACCAAGGGCAAGGTGCCCAATCTTCGCAGAGGCGCCAAAAATGTATCTTCGGCGTGGAAAACGGCCGGCAAAGATCCGGGGACTCGGCCAAGAGGTCGGCCTCCCATCAACCGAACGCCTGTAGAGGGACCTGGCCAACATCACGCACATGGCTGGACGCCAACCAACGAGACTCAACCCGAACATTCGTACTATCCTAGGCCAGTCCCGGCGATGCACCCAGAACAGCCGCAGCCGCAGCCGCAGCAACAGCAGCAGTATCATCACCAGTTTCCTGAAAATCAGAGCAGAGTTACACCCGCCGGACAGCATGACCAACATGCACCACCATACGAAGGAGGATCAAGACCATCTCGACCTAGCATCTCATTACAGGTCCCGGAACGGGCCGGGGGTTCTGTGCGTCTGGCCACGCCTCCAGCGCCAGCGCCAGCGCCAGCACTGACACAGGCCCCGGCACAGGCCCCGACACTCGCACCGGCACCAGCAGCACCGCCTCCTCAACCTCGTCAAGTCGAGGTCAACGGCTCCGAACCCAACGGCCAAGTTCCCGGCGACGATAGCCAGTACCACGATGGTTGGCGCAAATTCGCAAGGGAAGCAGCCGATGCCTACGAACAACCGGACCAAAGCCACGGGCCGGCCGGCTCGGGCGATTTGGGGGACAAGGACTCAGACATGCCCGACTACTACTTTGACAGGATGGACGACCGCACAAACGTCGACGTCCTGACGGCATACTTTACGCGCTCCATGACCGAAGCCGACTGGCGAGATGCCGACGGAAACTCAACAAAGACCGTCTCCCTGGAGGAATCCGCCGCAATGGTCCACGCCATGCTCCAAACAATGTACAAGACCGCCACATCGCCGCAAGCCTTTCTCATCAACCTGGCTGCCCTCGCGGGCTCCACCACCCTCGTCACCACGCGGCCGAAATGCACGCGCCTGAGCGAAAACGACGGTCAGTTCAGGTACAAGTGCGAATGGGAGTATCGCTTCGGCCATGTAAAGGGCGGCTTTACGTTCGACCAGGTGGTCCCGGCAAGCATGTGGGCCAAGACGAAGCGGCCGCCGACCCCGGATGAGGACCGGGACCGGAACCAGGAGCAGCAGCAGCAGGAGGAGGAGGAGGAGGGCAAGTTTACAAAGGAGTACTGGCAGAAAAAGTACGAGGCGCTGACGGCCGAGCTGGAAAGCAGGGACAGGAACCTGGCTGATTTGAGGGACAAGGTGACCAAGGCTCTGGGCCGGAACTTTATGTGATGGGCGTGGGGAGGTGCGGGCCGGACCGCTACTTTTTTCTTCAACTTGTTTTCCTGCTTCTTTTGTGCTTGCAGGTATTTGGCGTATCCGGCGCCGCCCTCATGGCCTATTCGACTTTGCTGCTTGGCATCGACGCCAACCAGCTTTATTTACTACCCGTCTCATCCGGCAACCGGACGCAGGTGCAGGTGGGAAGTGGGTGTAGACGGAGGCAAACAGTGCAAGGGCGTGGATAAAGGAGAATTTGTACATTACATACGGAGTAATGGCCAGGCTTATCAGCGAGGCGTTCCTTGTCGTTGTGTATACATATATACGCCTATAATCAATCGTCGCGCCTGCAAACGGCTTTGACCCCGCCAATGTCCAAGTATCTGCGTGCGCGAAAAAGGCTCACCTCTGTCCGCCGGGCCATGTATGTAAGAGCCAGCTGGTAGCCCTCTGAGAAGGCAGAATAACGGGCACGTCTCGGCGGGAAAGCAGAGTCGTCAAAGTTCACGGCTGTTGAGGACCCCCCCGTGCCTGTTTCTGTGCTTGCCCGCCGTGCAAGTCGCCCTGGTGGTGGACTGGTGCCTTGCGCATCAGCCCGAGTATTATTAGCACCGATGCATGATTTGTGTTCCTGTCAGACAGTGAGCTGGACGGCACGCAGCACATTGCATGCACGCCGAGGAAGGACACAGCAGTCGTGGGCGGCTGCAGCGACGGCAGGCCACAGATGCGACACGGCGGAAGGGATGCCGGGCTGACGTGAGTCACTGCGCATTCATTTCCTGACGTGGCCGTTGCTTTTTGCGGCTCGCGGATCAGGCGCACTTTGTTGTTTGCTGTCGAGGGGGCTGCGAATCCTTCGGACAATGTTTGTGCTGCTGACCCGGGTCTGGGAACGACGGGCTGGGGCTTTCCCTGCGTCACTTTGTGCATCCAAGTACATGTTGGAGGAGGTGGGTGCCTTTTTTTACTTCTTTCTTTCTGGCACATAGATGGCGGGCTGTTTTATTCGACGGATTACGGAGAGGATAAGACACCCGAGACACGATGATGCACGGGCGTCGGTCTGATTATAGCAACTACTTATACATGGCTGCTTGGGGACTACGTGCTTGTGCGCAACGACTGTCGGGGACGCTGTGAGTTGAGGGTGGTTTCTGCGTAGTGTGCAGTGAGCGTAATCATGCACGAGCACACCGGGACACATGGCAGCTAGCCTGCTACCGACGTCTTGGCTTTTGAGAGTTGCAGGAGGCCGGGGCATTGAATGAGACTCGACGAACATGAGCTCGAATGGCGGGATTGGACGCGCAGTACGGAGTATGGAGCAGGCAGTAAGCTTTTTTGTTGGACCCCGTGCCGGCTGGGGGCTGCCCCGCCTGGCTGCAGATTTGTATGCACAGTCTGGCAGAATGTGTTTGCCCACCAACAAGTATACACTAATATACACACACTATTGACAGTTTAGTACCCTATGTACACGGCGTGATAGCCAGAAACCTGGCCTTGTTAAACACTTTCTGCCTCCCACTGTACATACTTTTGGTGTGGCTCATTTAAAAAGAACCATCATGGTGCATCTGGAGACGGGAGATGCCATGGCTGGCCCTGCATGCTGCCACCACAACCGCCACCACCACCCGCAATTGCTCTTCCTGGCGATGCGACCGCAACCGGACGCGGTGTTTCGGTGGCGGTAGGTTTTTCCTCACTGACCAAACGGCTTGCCTGGTATACGCCAACCGCATTGCCCTTCCCGCCGGCTTTGCTGCCTCTCATGCCAAAAGGCGCGGCAGCGTCGGTGGGTGAGATTGATTCGAGGGGGGGCGAGGAGAATCGCCAAGGGCAGAGCAGTAGGTCACCGCAGGTCATTGTTTGAACAAGTCGGTCGAACCCATCCCGATGGGCCCCATGGTTCGTTCCCCGGCTAGGAGAAGCCAAATGTCTCTGGACCACGTTCTAATGAGAAATGTCACCGTGTTTAGCGCCTGCGATAGTCCCGGTTCCAAGCGGGGGCCAGCAGACCACCCAAACGACCAAGGTCTTCTGCTGTGGCCGTCGATCCTCTGGGGTAAGGCTATTGTCATGGGAGACACAATAGGTTGATGGAAAAGATCGGGCAAAGCAGCCTTGCTGATCGCTTCTTGTCTCGAGGTGAAACGCGCCTGTCAGGTCCACGACCGATATTTCTGGGCCAAAGTTGCTGGCGCTGCATGTCTCGGGTGCCATTGTTTGAGAAGGCTCAGCCTTGTTGTGCATGGTGCTATTGTAATGTGAGCATGGCCGGCCGTCCGTCCTTTCGGCTGCTCTGCCGAATTGGCATCATGGAGCACCGGCCGTCATCTGCCATGAAAATGCCGTTGAGCTGCTCGGCGGGTTTGTGCTGAAAGAAAGAAAACAGCCACCAACGGCTGAAGTTAGTCACGATGCGTGCTCCCGTCGGTCCTTTTCGTCCCCCAATGCCATTGATGCATTGCTCACTCGAGCATGAATGGGAAGGAGCCACCCGGCGGTGGCTTCTCTTTATTAAGAGTGACCACAATACAGAGTGCCTACAGCCCACAGAGTCTCATCACCTCGCAGCCCCAGACTTCAAGTCGACATTTCGCACCCCGGGCCCGACTCTTGATACCTTGCCCATCACACCCTCTGTTATAACGGCCTGGCATCTCACTTAAGTCCCCCCGGCCTGGCCGAGGACATCTGGAGCCTAGCGCCATCTCGCTGCTTTGTGGCGCCAGTCCACCAGTCTCGTCCTGTGCCACTCGACCAGCATCACCAATTCGTACAGCGCGGTTAATCTCCACCATCCCCAGGGCCCTGGCCGTTTGGGCTGCTGAAAGCTTCCAGAGTTTCTCTCGACGCCAGTCCCCGCTGGTGGCACCGAGACTCCTACCCAAGTACTCCGTACTCAAGCAGTGCCGAGTAACAGTACTGATTGCGCATGAATACAATACCGCTGGGCGGCTGTTGGCGAAACGCGAACGACTCGAGTGGACACGTCTTCTTGTCCCCGGCCCCCAGCCGAGATCTCCAGCTCTGGACTCCAGCTGAGTTGAGTGGACTGCAGCCGGACGGGTGTGGGCTGGGCCAAGCCTCTGATTCCATGTCTGTTGTTTGCTCTTGAACCGAGTCGCTGCTGACCAGACTCCATTCTTGCAAAACTCGTCCCTCTTCTCTCATGAACTTTGAAGCGACCGACCCCGTTCTGCATCACGGAATTCGTGCGCTTCTAGGCGTTGCACATGGACGGCCACCTGCCACTGCCAACGACGACTCGGTCCCCATCTACTCCGTACACATGTGCACACGGCCAGTCTACTGCTGTCACAGACGCAGTAAACCTTAGGGCACCGCTCCAGACTGCCACGTTGAGCCCGTCAAACCGTCAACCCCCCCCCGTTCTCCACCATCGCCGCAACCATTCATTATTGGGCCAACTTCCCCAGATTTTGCTCCCAGCGCTTTGCGACAGCGGGCGGCGGCTGCGGCTGCTGCTGCTGTAGTTGTTGTCCATGATGGAGCAGCATGTTGGCAGAGTCGAGGAGGCGTCAAGGTGAGCTACAATTTCGCTGTTGAATGTTGAAGGACAATTTCGGCTCTGAAGTGTGCGACCGCAGCAGGTATGCGGCCTGGCAGCAACGTCTTAGACTCTCATGTGCCACACCGGCTTCGTGGTCTCGGATGATGCATTATCCTCCCATTCCATCCGTGCCCGAAATTGACAGACAATGCTACTCTGGCTCGGCTTTTGCTAACTCACGTCTAGCATTCCAATCAATGCAGCCTCCTCGACCGAAGCCGGACTTCATTCGCGGTCCGGCTCTGTGCCTCACATCAACCTCAATTCCAACATTGAAGCAAAGTACGACGCCTGCTTACTACCCGAAACCATTCATATCGAATCATTTCTAACCACGTCTCCATAGAATCAAGAATCCATTGATAGGGATTCCTCGGCGAGTTCTCCTCGGCAATGTCGACGAATTCTGCCGCGAAAAGGACCTTGGCGAGTATCGCGACCTCATTCGACGGGGAGCGCTTGTTGCCCAGGATCCCACCGGATACGAAGATATCACTGGCTCGCAAGCACTCAGCCAGGAAGAGATTGAGTCTCTCCGCGCCGAAGTCCTCCACAAGTGGCGAATTCCAAAAGTCCTCTATCTCACCGTCATTACTTGCTCAATCGGGGCTGCGGTCCAGGGATGGGACCAGACTGGCTCCAACGGTGCAAATCTCATCTTTCCACACGTGTTTGGCATCGAGAGCCCCAGCGTTCATGACAAGCTGATTGTTGGACTCGTCAATGCTGCCCCCTACATTGGGACCGCTCTGGCCGGATGCTGGCTCTCCGATCCCATCAACTCTTACATTGGTCGCCGTGGTACCATTTTTGTAGCCGCAAACTTTTGCCTTTGGCCAGTTCTTGCCAGTGCCTTTTGCAACACCTGGCAGCAGCTGTTTGGATGTCGACTGCTTCTGGGCGTGGGCATGGGGACCAAGGCTTCTACGGGTGAGTCGGCGCAAATTATTAGAGTAACAATACCAGGACAAAGAGTCGCTAATGGGGTGCATTGCTAGTGCCTATTTACGCCGCCGAAAATTCGCCTGCTCCTATTCGTGGTGCCTTGGTCATGAGTTGGCAGTTGTGGACGGCCTTTGGGATATTCCTGGGAACGTGTGCCAACCTGGCTGTCAGAGGAGTAACCGCGGATGCATGGCGATTCCAACTAGGCTCTGCCTTCATCCCAGCTGTTCCACTGGCCATTCTCATTTACTTTTGTCCCGAGTCTCCCCGTTGGTATATCAAAAAAGGTCGATACAGAGACGCCATGAGATCGCTCATGCGATTGCGAAATACGCCCATCCAAGCAGCGCGAGATTTATATTACATCCACGTCCAGCTTCAAGTAGAAAAAGAATTCATGGGGCATGGGGATTACTTGAACCGATTCATCGACCTCTTCAGGATCCCGCGGATCCGCCGAGCTACTCTGGCGTCCTTTGTTGTCATGATTGCACAGCAAATGTGCGGCATCAACATTATCGCCTTTTATTCGGCTGATGTTTTTAGGTCTGCAGGGGCAGACCAATTCCAATCACTGTTGGCCACGTGGGGATTCGGCTTGGTCAATTTCCTATTTGCCTTTCCGGCCATTTGGACCATTGACACGTTTGGACGCCGATCTCTCTTGTTATTTACCTTTCCGCAAATGGCCTGGACGTTGCTGGCTGCTGGATTATGCAACTTGATTCCGGGACAGGGCGGCTTGCACATGGGTCTGGTGGCCCTCTTTGTGTACTTGTTCGCGGTATTCTACTCGCCAGGCGAAGGCCCTGTTCCCTTCACCTACTCGGCCGAGGTGTTTCCTCTGTCTCATCGCGAGGTCGGCATGGCGTGGGCGGTGGCGACCAACCTCTTTTGGGCAGCAGTTCTCTCCATTTCATTCCCTCTGATGCTCGACCGAATGGGCGTCTTTGGGGCGTTTGGATTCTACGCGTTTCTCAACATGGCGGCTTTGGTGTTGATATTTCTGTTTGTCCCCGAAACTAAACAACGAACATTGGAGGAGCTGGATTACATCTTCGCCGTGCCTTCAAGGGTCTTTATGCGTTATCAAACGACCAAGACTCTTCCCTTTTGGTTCAAGCGGTGGGTCTTGCTTCGAAAGAATGAGACGCTTAAACCGCTGTACACGCTGGATGTTGCACAACACCAGGAGGAAGAGGACGAAGAAGAGGAATATGACGGCAGTGACGCCGCATTTGAAACCGATAAAGTAAGAGTTGAAATGAAGGATATAGCGGGGTACACGACGCACACGAGTGCGACGACAGACTCGATACGTCGAAGCAACAGTAGCTAAGCACGAGGCTATCTATGCCGGGCTTTTTGTACCGGCCAGCAGTGAGTTATGACGTCTTGAGATGGGTTAACATCTATGATGCTTTTTTTTCCCTCTATGCTTTTCATTTATTGGCGTCGATGCTGGTTTGCTGGGTTAGGTTTTTGGTTGATGGTTGATGGGTTGCAACTGTATGATTATTGGAGTATGGGGAATGCTGGAACAATGTCAGGCGCCTGGAACGATACCCATTCGATATGTTTAATTTACCCTTGGCTTGACTTGTTGGATATTGGATGAGCGATTAGCGAACATTGATATACGTCTTTTTTTTCCCCCAACTGGCCACCTGGTGTGCGTGCTGTGTGCTTGTCCGGCCGATGATTCCCGGCAAGACGGGTTTGTCTCGGCTGGGAACCCCTACACTACAATTCTGTGATGTCACGTCTCGGGTACGGAGTAGTCGCTTGGGTTGAATCATCCGGCAAGGCGGCAATGATTATCGTGGCGGTTGACGCAAGGAATGCGGGGACTAAGCGACGTCACTCTCCCACATTGCTCTCACCTGGGCAGTGTGGGCCGCCGCCACTCGGATTGACGATGTGATACGAAGACTTAGCGAAACCTGCAACACTTGCGACATGGGCTAGGAGAATTCGGGCAAAAAAGCCCAATTTATTACGGACTGTGGCGTTGGACGAATCCAATGGACGAGCGTGTGTGGATTTTTCTTTGTTTCTTCCTGTTTCTGCATCTTCTGTGCGGTACTGACAGGTGACGTCTGGGCTGTCCATGGTGGTTTGTGCATGTGGAGAGGAAATCTGCGATTGATAGAGGGGCCAGGGGGTGGTGGTGCTGGTAGCCGAGATCGAGCGCAATGCCCGATGGGACGATTTGGTCCTATTCTCGGGCGACTTTTTCAGCTGTCCAGGGCTGCTGGATGGCATTGATTGTGGTCAAGACGGTTGACCTGTTTGCTGGGCATGTCCATGCCGCTGGCAACGGCAGAGGAGACGAAGAAGAAAAAAAAAAAAATACTCGGATGGAAGCGCTGAATCGCGCGGTAATGCCTGAAACCCCTGGGCCTGGGGGGCGCGGAATTCCAGTGTCTGGCGCGACGAAAAAACGGGGCGGGGTGTGGAACGTGGCTCAGGGGCAGGATGAATGGATGGATGATGGATGCAGGACAGATCAAAGTTCAAATGTTGCGTGTTGTTGGCCGGTGGAATGGTGGGAGGGCCATGAATTATGCCAGGGGAGGCGGGGAGGGCGATGCTATTCTGGGAGTTTGGCTTTGCTATTTGTGCAGGTTGATATTGCGGTTGATGTAGAGACATGGGTTCACGTCATGCGTTGAGCTCCAGGTTCAGAGTTGCCGCGTGCCTGAGTCAAGGGACTCAGGGACAAGCACTTGCCGCAGTCTGCCGGCGGACATGGCTTGGGACGAACTGGCGATGTGTATTTTTTTTAATAAATCTTCTCTATTTATTTGCCAAGGCGGTATGGTGTGACAGCGAGACGGCATCTGCAGATCGGAGCAATCTTTAGAGTTTAGACGACATCGGATGGCCAACGGCCAACGTTGGATGATGGGTATACTAACCTAGATGCCAGAGTCAGCCACTTGCGTGCTATTTTACCATTCCCGTGCATCCAGTTGACCACTGCGTTTCATGCATTGCAGATTCGCAACTTGTCCCCTCCACCTGCGGCATACCTTGAATATCAGACCAGAGGCCAATCAGCACTGCCATAGACGGAATTCATGGCACTCGGCTTGGATGAAGACCCCCTTGATAATCTCCACTTTGTCTGGGTCGTTGCTGGCCAAGCACAATGTGCCATGCACTCCGTACGCGGTACCTGGAGCTCAGAGTGCTCTCAGCGCCGCCCCCCTGTGGCGCTTGGACGGCTCTGGCCTGCTCCATCATCCTCGCCATCGTGAAGGGGCCAAGGACCTAGAGGGACCCATTTCATCACTCTTGCTGGCCATGGGTGGGCATGGACGTGGTCAATTGGAAAGAGCACAGTCTGGCTGCAGTCGACGTTGACGGCTCAGACACAGCAAACACCAGACAGCGGGCCGCGCAGAAGCTCGCACGTCTTGGATCCGTGGCGGCAATCCTTGACATTATCCTTGACGTCGAGGCCCACCGTGGCAGCGAAACGGACAATGGCCTGCTAAGAAGCAACGGGGCGGTGCCATGTCTAGCACCATGTTGGTAGTGATGTGCTGTGCTAGTCTGTTCGTTGGTAGCGGGAGCTGGTGCCGTTCGCATGTAGTTGGACGATCATTGCATGCTGTGGCCGAGAAAAGAAAAGGGTGCAAAGTTGGAGTTTGCACAGGTAACAAAAGATCAGTACGACAGGTGCCCGAGGTACTCTGTACCAGTCGAGGGAAAAAAACACTTGTACCCGTTTACCCCGTGTACCCGCATATCCATGTGTCCATGTACTCCGTACTCGTGCAAACTACGCCGGCGCCGAGTACCTAGTACGTGCATCTTGGCTCCTTGAGAACGACTGTCTCGTTTCACCTCCACATTGCACATGCGCACACGCACATCCACATCTGCATCCGCGCCTTCGTTTTGTGTTTCCGTTTTCCTTGCCTCCCCCTAGCATCTGCATTTTTTTGCGCTCCACCCTTTTTTTTCTCTGGTCTTTTGCTATCCTTTATTTTCCTTGCCCGTCTCTTTCATCCTATCCATTTCCTACTGTCCTTTACTTTATCCTCAGTACTCTTGCTTGTGGCGTCATTGTGGTTTCCTAGATTCCGTCCCTTGTTGAGCAGCATCTCGTCGGGTGACACATGATAACGCCTCCAAACTGGTCACTCATCTCGCAGATGCCACACCATCAGGTGTAACGGTGTTACCCTTCTGTGCTCTGACCAGCACGCCCTCAATTCGGCCAGAAGCAGGGCTTCAGTAATACGACTGCATGGCCGAGGACTGAAGAAGTATCATCACACATTGCTGTTCAGCCATCACTCACTTTTTTACCGACCAATGCGCATAACGACTGTTGCGAATACGTACTCCTGAATTCGGTTTACATCTATACATATAGAAACGTATCTTGCATCAATATTCATCTACGGCGAACAGTCCCCTGAAGAAAACCAGACCATCTTTGGACCATTCCGCTGCCATTCACCCAATACCGGCGTTTCATCTCTGCTCTTTGAAACAAGACATTGGACGTTCCACCCCTGAGGCGACTGCTCCAACGGACACTCTTTCAAAAAGGAGGCGGTGCGCTTTTGTCTAGCCTGCCTGGCCTCTCCTTTTTCCTGCGATGCCCAACAGGCACTCATCTCTCGCATCGCGAAACTCGGGCTTTCTCCCGCTTGGAAATAGATCGCGAACCGAAATGACCGACAATGGCATCCCGCTGACCACGGTCAGAAGCAATGCCTCTAGCACCGGGGCCCGCAAGGCCAATACCGGAAACACGACATCCTATGACTCCTCCCCGGAAAATACCTTTGAGAAGAACGAATCCGAAATGCATCACCGGCATGCAGGGCGTAGACGAAAACAGGGCGACGACAAGTTGAGCCGCAGAGGCACCGCCGGCTCTGACGAGGTCAGCGTGAATGCCCTGGGCAGGCTGTACGCCAAGATTGTCGGTTTCTCCGTCGTCACTCGCTACATGGTCTACATTGTCCCCGTGGGCCTCATCTTGGCTGTGCCAGTCTTGATCTTTCGCTTTACGGATTTTGGAGACGGTACCTTTGTCGGCGGCAGAGATGGCCCTACCCTCTTCTACCTGTTTCTCTGGATTCTAATTGCTTGGTGTGCCCTCTGGGTGGCCAAGATTGCCGCTTGGGTGCTTCCCAAGGTCTTTATGTTTTTCTGCGGCATCGTCAGCATGGGCGTGCGAAAGTATGCCACGGTTTTGAAGAACCTGAGTATTCCTCTGTCGCTCTTCTTCTGGGCTCTGGCCGCCTGGCTCTCCTTCAAGGGACTCTTCAACGATGCCTTGAGCAAGAACGTCGTCTGGGTTAGAAACATGGAGCGGGTGCTTGGTGCCTTGTTTGTGTCATTGGTCGTGTTTTTGGTTGAAAAGGCTCTCGTTCAGCTCATCGGTGTTTCCTATCACCAGCGTTCCTTTGCCAACCGAATCAAGGCCTCCAAGCGTGAAATCCACCTCCTCGGGCTCCTCTACGATGCCTCGCGGACCCTCTTCCCCATGTATTGCGAAGAGTTTGCCGAGGAGGACTACATCATCAACGACAGTATCGAGATGATGCTGCGTGGAAAAAAGGGCAAAATGATGGGGGGCAACGGCGCTGCTACACCTATGAAGATTATCGGCGACGTTGGCCGGTTTGGAGACAAGGTCACTTCTGTGGTGGGCCATGTTGCCAAGGAGATTACCGGAAAGCAAGTGTTCAACCCCAACTCGGCCCACTCGATTGTTCTTGAAGCTCTGGAAAAGAAGCTTCCGTCCGAAGCCCTGGGCAGGCGTATCTGGATGTCCTTTGTCCTCGAGGGCAAGGATGCCCTTTACCTGGAAGATTTCGAGGAGGTTCTCGGCCCTGCGTACAAGCAAGACGCGGAAGAGGCCTTCAATATGATAGATTCAGACTCGAACGGGGATATCAGTCTCGATGAGATGGTTCGCAAGACGGTTGAGATGGGCACGGAGCGCAAGGCTATTGGTGAAGGTATGAAGGATATTGGGCAGGCCCTCAGAGTCTTTGATAAGGTCCTGATGTTTGTGGTTCTGTTGATTACCATTCTCATTTTTCGTAAGTCACTTGCTCTTTTTCTTTCTTTGTTATTTTTTTTGTCCCATTTGGAGAGACTCAAGTTCCTTTTGCTAACAGTATTGAAAGTCGTCTTTTTCCAGAGCAGTGTTGTCACCAACCTTGCCACGGCTGGAACTGCGCTCCTCTCATTGTCCTTTGTCTTTGCTGTGACCACTCAGGAATTCCTGGGTTCGTGCATTTTTCTTTTTGTCAAGCATCCTTACGACGTGGGCGACCGTGTCGAAGTTGGTGGCACACAGATGCTGGTTGAGAGGATCTCCCTGTTGTACACCGTCTTCACCAAGACTGCGCAGAACCAGTCTACGCAGGTAGGTCGCCACAGAATATTCTCTCCTTTTTTTTTTTTGGTGTTGGTGTAACTAACAAAGGATCAAAAAGGTACCAAACATTGTGCTGAATAATCTTTGGATCGATAATGTTTCACGCAGCAAGGCCATGACGGAATCCTTCCAGGTTGACGTGTCGTATGACACGTCCTTTGAAGACATTGAACTGCTCCGTGCCGAAATGGAAAAGTTTGTCAGACACCCCGACAACTCTCGTGACTTTAAGCCCGATTTCACCATTGGCGTGGGCGGAGTGGGCGAGCTCGACAAGCTCACACTGGAAATCTCCATCCAGCACAAGTCAAACTGGCACAATGGTGTTGTCCGCGCCACCCGTCGCTCCAAGTTCATGTGCGCCTTGGCTCTCGCACTCAAGAAGGTTCCCATCTATGGACCGGGAGGCGGTGCCGAGGCTCTGGGCGGGCCTACTAACCCGACTTATTCGGTCGCAGTGACGGATGAGTGGGCGTCCAAGAGCCGTGATGCCGTCGCCAAGGACAAGGACGCTGGGCGCATGGTCCCCGTCCAAACTGGCCAGACAGACGCCGAACACCGCTCTGCTGAAGAACACGCGGCGGCGGAACTCAACGCGCGGTCATTGGCGGTGGAGACGTCGGGTAACTGGGGTGAGTTCCGTGACGACCGGTCGCAGCGATCGCCGTCTGAAGACCCCCGACGGTCGAGGGACATTGAGTCGGTTCGCAATGAACTACTCAAGAAGGAGAGCCAGCGCGGACGGCGAAAAGCCGGCGAAGGCCTGCAGACTCTGAGTCCAACGGAGACGCATGGAGGATATTCGGCGCACAGCCCTCGGGCAGGGCCGTTTGACGAAGAAGCCCAGACGGGCATACCGCAACGCTTCTACAGCGTCAGCCGTAGCCACGAGCCTACTGTCCCAGAAGAGGAGGAGGGATTACACCCAACCGGGCCGTACAGCGTGGGCGGTCTGTCGCACAAACCATCGCGGGGTCCGTCATCCGGTCATCGTTGATGGATAGTCAAGGTTATAAAAAAATGGCATGAAATGATGAATTGGTGGGTTGAGTACGATGGTAATTGCATTGAATATAGATCTGGGCATGTGTATGTTTTGCACGGATATAATCTGTGTCGGCTGAGGGTCATATAATTTGATTATGATTTTATAATGAACTGTTCCTGATGTGGTCTGAATGAATGCGCAGTGTTGCACCTCGGATGCCGGTCTTGGTGGCTGAAGGTGTCAAGTCGCCGGTATTGACAGCTGTCAATCAATTGATGTTTTTGATTGGTCATCGATTGGCGGGAGTGCCTGGTGGCGTCCATCACTTCACCCCTCCAGTCCACATCTCCAACCCCGCAATCTCAACTGCAGACTAACCATCCATCACAACCATGCTCCATTGCAAATTCGATAGCGACGCATCTGTCGGCAAGGATTGCCGAGCCGCCGGGGATGCCGTGCCGGTCGCGGTCGGGGCCTTGGACCGAAGCGGCAGGTCGAAAGAAATCGCGGCTGGAGCTACAGGCACCTGCCCGTTGTAACAAGGCTGGCTGGTTTGTGGGAACTTTCAACTGACGCGGGTGCTTGTTTGCCCTGGGTAGATGTCCGGATGTTCGGCATGGACAAGACGTGACGATGGATGATGGGGCTTATCTACGGGGTGAAGTGGTTCATGGATGTCATCGACGGGCCCCGTTGACGTGGACAGCTGAGCCGGGAGCGCCGTATACACACACACACACGAACACAGAGACACAGACACATATATATACGATGGCGAACAAAGTCTTGACACGACTTCCTGCAGGCCAATTGAAGCAATTGAGCTTGCCGTCTCGGTTCCTGCACGGCAGAGTTTGAGTCGACGTCATGGTGAAGCTCTCAATAGCCGCCGTTGTGGCTCTCGCCTCTGCATCGGCGTGGGCTCTGCCATCAAACAATCATGTTCTTCACGAGGCGCGGAACCCGACAAGCACTCGCCAAAACCACCTATGGAAACGTGGAAATCGCGTCCATCCGGACGCAGTCATACCGCTGCGGATTGGCTTGGCGCAGTCCAATCTCCACGAGGCCTATGGCAAGCTCATGAATGTGTCTGACCCGGACTCGGAGCACTTTGGCAAGCACCTGGCCCAAGATGAGGTCCATGCCTTGTTTGCCCCGTCAGACGAGACGTTGACTGCCGTTCACTCTTGGCTTGTCGACATGGGCATCAGCAAGACGCAAATTCGCCAATACACCAACAAGGGCTGGCTGGCGCTGGACGTCCCCGTGTCCAAGGCCGAGGAGCTGTTTCAAACTCAATACCATGAGCATGAACACGACGGCGCAATCAAGATTGGCTGCGACGAGTACCGCGTCCCGAAGCATCTCTCCCAGCACATTGACTATATTATCCCCGGGGTAAAGTTGTCCCCCCTCATGGTGAGGCGTTCGGCCAAGGCCAGATCGCCTGCGAAACGAATCACCGCACAGAACAGGAAGAACTGGGAGCCAAAAAAGGTTTCTCGCAAGAAGCCTTCCTGCAAGACCCCCCCGCCCTCAAACTTGCCGCCGGAACTCAAGGATTGCGCGCGAAACTTTACGGCAGCGTGCTATCGTGCCCTGTATCAGATCCCGCTCGCCAACACCCCGGTTCCGGGACTGGAGCCGGCCGTGTATGAGATTGGAGACACGTACTCGCAAGAGGACATCAACTCGTACTTGCACAAGTACACGCCATATATCCCCAACGGAACTCACCCCACTCTACACTCTGTAGACGGTGCCCAGGCTCCGGTGCCACCCCAGTCACCGCAGAACACGGGCGAATCAGACATTGACATTGACATTGTGCAGTCACTCATCTGGCCGCAGTCCATGCTGCTGTACCAAGTGGACGACATTTACTACTCGACCCAGAGCAACACCTCTGGGTTCCTAAACACGTTTCTCGACGCCCTGGACGGGTCCTACTGCCACAAGACGGACTTCAACATTACCGGCGACAGCCCCGGCATCGACCCGAGCTACCCCGACTCCCACCCGGGAGGCTACAAGCAGGCCGAGATGTGCGGAGCCTACAAGGCGGCGCCCGTCATCTCCATATCCTACGGCGAGAGCGAGCTCGACGTGCCCAAAAAGTACATGCAGCGCCAGTGCAACGAGTTCCTCAAGCTCGGGCTGCAGGGCACCACGGTCCTCGTCTCGTCGGGCGACTACGGCGTGGGCATCGGCCCCGGCGCGAACGCCTGCCTCAACGGCTCCGGCCAGACCAACACCGTCTACAACCCGGGCAACCCCGTGTCGTGCCCGTACCTCACCGCCGTCGGGGCCACGCAGCTCAACCCCAACACCACGGTGCGCGACCCCGAGGCCGCGCTCCAGACGCCCCTCCCCGGCGCCGAGCTCTTCGCCAGCGGGGGCGGCTTCTCCAACTACTTCCCCGTGCCCGAGTACCAGCGGGCCGCCGTGCGGTCGTACCTGGCGCGCCACGACCCGGGCCTCCGCTCCTACGTGGCCGACGCGGACGCGTCCAACATTGGCGCCGGCGGCGGCGTGTACAACCGGGCGGGCCGCGGGATCCCCGATATCGCGGCCAACGGGGCCAATTTCCGCGCCTTCACCAACGGCACCGACCAGCACGTGTTCGGGACGAGTCTCGCCGCGCCGCTGTGGAGCGCCGTCATCACGCTGGTGAACCAGGAGAGGGCGCGGGCGGGCAAGACCACGGTCGGGTTCATCAACCCCGCGCTGTACAAGAACCCCGCGGCCCTGACGGACGTGACGCGCGGGTCGAATCCGAACTGCGGCTCGTCGGGGTTCTCTGCCGTGCGGGGGTGGGATCCGGTCACGGGGCTGGGGACGCCCATGTTTGAGGAGCTGCGGAGGCTGTGGCTACGGCTGCCGTGAGTCTGGTGTAACAGGCCGGCTGCAGGGTCCCCGAAGGGCCTCTAGAGGAGATACATTACAGGTCAATGTTCTTGTCCAGGTCGACATTTGGCGTCGGGGACTCGGAGGTGGGAATTGGGATCCGATGAAGTATATACATAGTTGTGGGCTGCTGGGTCCGATGTATCGTGGGGCTGGCCGGGTCCGATGTGAAGGGTCTGGTGGTTTGCTACGTTTGCGCAGACATCTATCTATAACACTCGAGGCATACTCGCATATATATTCAACAGTTACAAGCACTGCCGTGCACTTCCCACTTGACCCTGCGCACAACGTTCCTGCAAGTCACTGTGACGCCTTGTTTTGCACTCTGCCCCAAAGCCTCGGAAGCAGGCGTGCCCGTGCCCCGGCGGCGTCGACTCACAGCAGCAAAACCAGGTAGTAGAACATGGCCAGAGCCGCGAGCAAAGTGGCCGCGCGGCCGTCAGCGTGGTTGGCGGTGGTGGTGTAGCGCCGCGCTAGCCCCGACACGGCACGGGCCGGCGCCGTCTTGAACGTCCCCGTGGCGGCGCACGCGGCGGCCGCGCTGCTGTCCATGAGCGGCAGGTTTCTACATGACCTGTTTGAGGGCGCCTTGGATGCCAATGTTCACCGGCTGTTATATTTCGCGCAATCCGGCTGGCAGGACACCCAGACACGAAGGACGTTGTCGGGTACTGCGACGGCCGGCGGGGATTGCTCTCGACGCCGCTTTACGAGACATTGACGTCCTCTGCAATGACCTGCCTCGGGACAAGGCCACCGCCGTCCACCTTGACGAACACGGCCTTTGTAAGATTCTTTTCATGGGCCAGGCTGCCGAGTAGATGACGTCTCCAATTGACGATGAATTAATAATACTGAATTCCAACTTTCAAAGCTGTCCGTGTGGCCTGTTTACAGAGGGGCTTCATCTCGCTTCGGATAGCCGGGTGAGGCCGCATCAGGTTGTCAAGCCGTCAAGCCGCTATAATTCACATATGAGAAGGTCATATAGCCCACGACTACGTAATTGCCTTGCGCGTCTAATGTCGGCTGCCATCCGTGTCATGCTACCAGACCAGAAAGGCCATGGTGGAGATTGGCCTCGTGGTTTAATAGCTACCAGACTATTTATTAATAAACTGAACTTAAGGGTACTGCTCACTATAACAGGCCCGGCCGTTAATGCTGATGCAACGCCGCCACCGAATAAACGTCTCACAATCTGTCCTTGAGCGTTATACCATGCACACCGGCCGCCAGCTCGAGAGCCCTCCGCCCTTGCATGTCTTGTCTGCAATGTCATCCGTTGTTCGTTCCCAACATGCTTCTGGCTACACAAGTCCCGCCTCCGTGCCCACGAGTCATTAATGTTCCCTATATGTACGTGGACCTATACGTGGACCTATACGTGGACCTATACATGGAGGCTGTGTTGCTATAGGTCATGGGCTAACCACGGTTATAACATCTGCCCAGGTGAACGTGACACCGAGTATTGAAAAAATCAAAGGGCTCACGAGTCATTGCTAGACGCGTAGAACCTGCGGATGTAGTCAGTGGCATGGAGGAGAATCAAGCGCACGTCGGGCTTTGTATTTAAACCCGCATAGTACATCAGACGAAGATGGCCGCAACCTTCTCCTGGCAGGCCGCGGACTGGCAATCTTTTCCTCACAATGCGCCCTTCACTCATTCTAGTCGTGTTGCCCCTGGCCAGTGCCATTCCTCAAGGCCCGCTCAAGAAACGTGCCGCCGCGGCAGGCCAGGACTCCACGGCCTCCAGCGGCCCAAGTTTTACCGTGTCCATCTTGGCGGACACGAACCGCGACGGCAGGGTCGATGTCGCGGGCGAAACCGACACCGTCGGCAAAGAGACGTGGACAGACGACGCCGGCGCCCTCTTCCTAGCCAATATCGTCGACACGGACCGCCGATGCTCATCCCAAATCACGGGCTCCTGTGCCAGCGGGCTGGGCGACATCTTCAACGCGACAGAGCCGCCCGAGACGCCGGTCCCCGACCCACGTCTTCCCGACACGCCTGGAGACGGGGGATCCATGGAACAGTGGTACAACAGCCTCAATGAAGGCCAAAGAGCCCTCTATTACGACTACTTGTTCAAGGGGCCGGATTACCAAAAGATAAACGAGGTGGACAGGAAGATATCGGCCTGCAACGACGCCTCGGACGACATACTCCGCAACGCAACCTACCTGGCGCCTCTGCGTACTCGACCCATCCCCGGGCTTGGCAACTCGGCCACGGGAACCGTCGCCGTGACCCGCATGCTGGCCGCCTCCAAGGTTCGCCTGTTCCACAAACAGCAAACCAGTGGCCAGTGGGTGTTCATCACGTCAAACTACACCTTCAAGGCCGCAGAGCTCAAAGCAGGTCTCGAGCTTGGCATTGATGCGCGCGACGTCCGCCGCCCCGGCGGGTGGGACGGCCGAGCCACGGTCGAGTTCACGGTAAAAGACGGGGGACACGAAGCCCGGGATTCGGTGGCACTCCGCGTGGCGCCCGTCCTGACGCAGCACCACGGCCAGGCCGCCAAGCAGCTGCTGACATCGCAAGTCGACGGCCCCAAAGGCAGGGACTCGGGCCACGAGCGTTTCGTCCAGGAGCTCGGCGAGATGTCCTCCTCCCTGGGCCTCGAGAGCCCCATGCACGCCTTTGAAGGCTGCGGCGAGTTGTGGACGCAGGACTTCTTCGAGCCCGGCTACATGAGCATCCCCGGGCCCAACGGCCCCGTCAGCCTGCACATTATGCTGCGGTCGGCGCAGGACTACCGCGAGGCCGGGCGCAAGGTGTTTCAGGATTTGCGCTCCAACACCGTCGGAGCCGTCCAGCACCTCGCGGGCGGCGACACCGTCGACTCTACCGGAAACCTCGAGACGATACCCCCGTACTCGCACCGCGGCAAGGCCTATCCCGCAGGGCGAGCCGTCATGGGCACCCAAAAGACCAAGCCGCACATGATGGCCTTTCTCGAGGCCCAGGAGACACAGGCCCCCATTGAGCTCAACACGTCGTGGCTTTCCGTCGGCCACGTCGACGAGTTCCTGCAGTTCCTCCCCGCCGACAACAAGCTCGGCTGGGTTCTAATGGCGGACGATCCGCTCGCGGGCCTCGACATCCTCCGGCAGGCGCGGCAGGCAGGCCACGGCAAAGAAAAGGCCGTCTCGCGCCCTCGCTCGCCCGCCGACCCCGAAGAGTGGCACGTCACCACCACCATTGACGAGGTGCTCGACAGCACCGACTTTGCTGCCGTGCAGAACAAGAGCGCCGCCCACATCGCCGGCAACATCGAGATTCTCAAGCGCGAGACGGGCCTGACCGACGCCGACGTCATCCGCCTGCCGTGTCTGTACCACCTCGAGCCGGACCCCTGGGGCCGCTTCGTGAGCGACATCTGGACTTATGAGAAGAAGGCCGGCAACGAAACGCGACGCATGTCCCGTCGCGCCGTACGCGTCAAGGCCGCCAACGCGCTGGACGCCGGTACGCCGCCTACCAAGTTGGCAGACGGGAATGGAGCGAGTATAGAGCGCCGCCAGAGCTTCAGTTGGTCCGAGTTTGAGACGTGGCCCGTTTTGGCGCTGTACCCCGGCATTATCAACAGCGTCGTCGTCGACAGGAAGCACGTCATTGCGCCGAACCCGTGGGGGCCCGTGATCGACGGGCGGGATGTCCTGGCCGCCGCGGCGGACGAGGCCTACGCCAAGGCGGGTTATACGGTTCGCTACATTGACGACTGGTTCACGCACCATGTTGAAATGGGCGATGTGCACTGCGGATCCAACGTTATTCGACGTGTGCCGGCGGATAGCAAGTGGTGGTGAGGCGTGTAGCCGGCCAAATGGCTGATATCATTCTGTTGAGCATTGATTGGCGCATGTGAATAGAACAAGGACAATAATGTGTGCCGCTGCGTAGGTAGTAGTGTAGTTTCCTGTTACTGCTTGCCGGTACCCAGTAGCTGCTGGGTAGAATGCTTGCATCTTCTGTATAGAGGCAGTGTGTCACATGGCACGATTGTACGGAATGGCTTGGATAAAATAGACCTTTACTTTTTCTTGTCCCTCTTGATAGGAAACAGCCTAGCGACTAGCTAGTTGAATCAAGTCGTTGGCAATCGCTAGACTTTGACATGGCCGAAAAGTCCCGTCGCCACAAGCCGAGATCTTCTGGCAACCGTGTTGGCCAGCTCGGCGAAACTCATCGGACTCATCAACTCGAATATCTGGACGTGAGATTCCAACTGTGACAAGATCCAGTTGCGAAGCTCCACCGCAATAAGAGAGTCCACTCCATAGCTCACAACGGAGCGATTCGTGCTGACGTCCTTTTCTGGCAGGCCAAGCAGATGAGCAAGCTTCTGCTTGATTGCTATCTGCATCGCCTTTTCGGCTTCATCCGCCGTTTTTGCTGATTCAAACATGGCTTGAATATTGAAATGGCTCGAGTCAGCCTTGGCAGATGCCTGGCGATGGGGCTTCGTCCATATGTGGGAGAATTTGGGATCTGGACGTTGCAGAGCTGCTTCTTTGGCTTGGGAACTTGGATCGGCTCTCCTCGTGCCGCAAATCAGCTGCGCTGCCGAGGGCCCGGATGGAAAGGGATTCCATATCGCCTCATTGATTGTGGCCAGGAACTCCTTGACCTTGTACGGCTGCAGTCCTTGGCGGGAGACGAATTCCGCGGCCGCTTCGTTATTTGCCGTGTACCCTTCCCCTTCCACGGAGCCAACGTCGATGGAGCGAGCTGGCAGACCGAGCGATGCCCTGTGGCGAGCGAGGGAATCTTGAAACGTATTGCCAGCGGAATAGTTGCCCTGAGCATACGAGCCAATGATTCCTGCACTGCTCGAAAGGAGGATGAAGAAGTCTAGAGTGTCTCCGAACACGCGGTGCAAATTCATTGTTCCCACAACTTTCGGTTCCATTGCAGCCCGCCACTGCTCGTAGCTCATATTGTCCACGCGAGAGTCCTGTTTCCCATTAGAAATCTCCACTGTTGTGAAAGACGGTTGAGCACGTACCTGCAGCACCATTGCTCCTTGGACAACACCTCTGATGGGGAATTCTCTGGCCTGCTCCTTGATCGACTCAATCGCGACCGTGTCTGTGACGCTGCCCTTGAACACGACAACACAAACACCGGCAAGACGCATCTCTTCCACCAGTTCTCTCATAATTGGACTGTCGGAACCAGATCGGGACAAGGTAAAAATGTGCTTGGCCCCGAGACTCGCAAAATGCTTCATGGTGGCTCTACCAAGGCCGCCGGTTCCTCCCACGACCAGGTAAGAGCAATCCCCTTTCAGCCGAGGAGTCGGTGGCCGTGGAGGTTGGACCTGCAAGCCCAAGTCAGCAAAAACGTTTATCAAGATGGGACGATGTGCACGTACGGAAATTGCCATGTCCGGGTCCAACTGGAGCAGTAGTTTGCCCACGTGTTTTCCAGCCTGCATCAGCCTAAATGAAGTCTCCAGCTCGGAGACAGGACTGACCGTTATAGGGCTCAAAACTTTGATCCTGTCCTGGCCAACGAGCTCAAAGATGGTGCGGTAGAGCTCTTGGTGAACAAGAGGCTTCCTCTTTGCAAGCAGCGTCAAATCAACGGTAGTAAATGTGGCGTTGCTTTCCAAAGACGCCATTTCAAGCCTCGCGTTGGAGATGACATCTTTCTTACCAATCTCGACAAACCGTCCAAACGGCGCGAGCAGGGAGCAGCTTTTTTGCAACGCCTCGCCGCTGAGCGAGTTGAGAATGACATCGACACCATCACCATTTGTCCTGCGAAGAATCTGATGGTAGAAGCTGAGACCGCGACTGGAGAATATCTTGTCGTCTGGGATGTCGAAGCGTTCTCTTATGAGGGCCCTCTTGTCCGCACTCCCCACCGTGACGTATATTTCGCCAGCGTTGAGATATTGAGCCAGGGAGATGGCGGCTTGGCCAACTGCGCCTGCTCCGGAATGAATCAAAATGGACTCTCCCTCTTGGAGATTGGCAACATTCCTCAGCGAATACAGAGCCGTTGCATAGGCGAGAGAAATAGCGGTTGCGACTTCCATGGACAGCTTCCTGGGTATGTGATGAACGTTGCACTTGTTAATGACGCTGGTCGTGGCGACACCGTCTGGATCGGTGGCGAAGACCAAGTCACCGACAGAGTACTGATGACGGAGTGCTTCACCAACCTCGACAACCTTGCCGCTCCCTTCCAGCAGCATGGCCGTGTGCCCTTCTAGTTGTCCCATGGCGATCATGATGTCTTTGAAGTTGAGAGAGACGTATTGCAAATCCACCCGGACTTCTTCGGCTCCGACGCTCCGCGCGTGCCGCTCCGAGTCGGCCCAGTAGAGTGTGTTGAGAAGCCCAGGTTCGTGGATCTTCAGGCTCAAGGCACGGCCTGGTTTCATTCCCTGCTCGTGTCGAGGGTGGTAGCTCGAAACGCTGTCTTGGACATATTCATTCACGGGACTGTTACACATCAAGCGAGGAATCAGTATCTCTCCATTGCGGATGGCGTATTCAAATTCCGGCAAGGCAGAGGCTGGCGGACCATGTGGACCGAATACATGATGATAGACTCTGCGAATCTGCTCTGCGGTCTCGAGCCCCGACCCGTGATTCGGCTCGAGATCCAGCGTGACGACCTTTCTGTGCTGGTCTTCGGATCGCAGGCAGCGCGTTAGGCCCACGATGAGCGACTGGAGAGGATTCGTGCCTTCGACGGCGCCGCCACAACTGACCCATAAAACACCGTCTGCGTTGGAAAGGATATGCCGGACTTTTCCCCAATCCGCTTGAGAGCATGTCGCCAGGAACGGATGGACTGCCTCGAGCAGCACCACGGCCAGCTGACCAGGCGAAACCTGCGCCTCAGCCAACATGGTCTTCTCAGCGTGGACGCTGGACTCGACAGAGGTCAATAGCTCGGCTACATGGTCTGCAAGTCTGCTCTCTTTACCGTCACTAATCACAAGAATGGTCTGCCGAGGGCCTCCTTCCGAGCCCGTCAGGTTTGTTGGGTATTTGGAGATTGGCAACTCGGATTCTAGTGTTGACACGCCTCTCGTCGGGTCTTGCATGCCCAAACACCATGGCTCTGGATGGCTAGTTGCTGAAGAAACCATGACGCTGACCTGGTGGTCCTCGGCCGAGTCGAAGTCGTGCATCTCAAAGTCGATTCCGGAGAAGCCACAATGGCCGAGCCTATCACGCCAACCAGATGCATCGAGAAGTGGTGAGTGCACCCGACCGTCCGTGGCTCCAAGCCACCATCCAGGGAGCATGCCAAATATGACTCCGTCGTGAATTTTTGGGGCCGTCGTCTCCATCACAGCAAGCTTGCCATTTGATTTGAGCAGGCTCCTCATGTTTCCCAGCGCGACATTGATCTCGCGAGTCGCATGCAAGACATTGGCGGCAATGACGAGGTCGTACGAGCCAAGTTCAAACCCCTGTTCTTTGGGTGAGATTTCCATGTCAAGCCTCTTCCACTCTAGAGACTCTTGCGCCTTATCCCATCCCGTTTCTGCGTCCTGGAAGAACGCTGTCGGAGCACAGGCCAAGGTATACGACTCGGACCTCGCTTCTCCTGCAACGCCCTTGTTGCTGTAGAGAGCTTCCAAAACCGGCATCGACCCGTCTGCGGTTGCAGCCCCAATCTCGAGGATGCGGAGATTGGGAGTTTTGAATCGAAGAAGCTTGACATATTCGGCCAGCTGCATGTGACACCTCTTGATGTTGTCGCGCGTGTAGAGCCGGTACAGACGCTGCTTCTCCAGAAGGAGTGCCTGGGGATCAACGTCTCCCCGAAGAATACCTACGAGCCGAGGTGCCATGTCCACCAGGACCTCGCCGTAGATGCCAAGAGACTTGATTTTATCGTTGAGCGCGTTGCCCATCTGGAGTGGCTGGTAGCTTCCAGCCCTTATTGACTTCATCCACAGGAGCCACTGAGAAAAGTGGCCAGTAATCTTTGCCTCGTCGTCGGGAGAGAGCTCTGTTAGTGCCCCTGCCACGACAGCTTGGCAGTATTGCTCACACATGCTCGTTCTCCCAGCCACCAACACGTCCGGGTCGAGAAGGCAACGCTTGATGATGCTGTGAGGCTCGGCGCAAGTCGGGTCAAGGGACCACTCTAGCCGATGGCACAGGGATTCTCCAGCCAGATGCTGTGAAGAAGTCTGCCGAGATGGTCCACTTGTCCTGGCAAGGATGAGCCCCTTGATCTTTATGAAGACTTCTGATTTTCCGTCGTCGGAGCTCGAGATGACTGAATCGGATGCGAAATTGGAGTGGCCAAGGCCTCGAAGAGATGCCGCGACGGACATGTGCTTTCCAGGCTGCGACGGAATCTCACTCGAGATTTCAAGGTCGTCAAACCCGCCGAGGACAAATGTACCCCGAAGATTGTCTCCGACCTTCATGGCCGAGAAGGCTGCTTGGAAACAGACATCCAATGTTGCTGGGTGGATGCAATGAGGTTGCTGGTAATGCAAAGGCATAAGAGCCTCGATATCTGGAATCTTGATTCGACAGGTCGATGCGGACTCGGATGCTCGAATGTGCTCTTGGCCATTGAACGGGTGGCTATACTCAATACCCACGTCTCTGAGCTCCTTGTATAGCTGCTTCGGGGGGAGTACTATGCGAGCTTTCTCGGAAACTTGTTCAATAAACGCAAGAGACTCGGCATCCGTCATATTCTCATGGTCTTGGTTGGGCAAAGGACTGATGGCAGTCACCAGACCCCGACTATGCTCTGTTGATTCTCCATTGACAGACACGGAAAATATCCGAAACTCGTTCCACGAAGCCGAAGATTCTCGTGCCGTGTACGTAAAAGGTCGAATGGTGACGAATGTCTCTACGCCCACAGAATCGTCGGCAACGAGGAGCGCCCGACCAAAATGAACTTGGCGAAATTTGATACGCATCTTCTTCCAGGGGTTTCCGCCACCGAGGATTTGTTGCTTCAGGGCTTCCAAAACCATGGTCACATAGCCAGCGGCTGGGAAAATGGTGTTGCCACCAATGCAATGGCCCTTGAGCCAAGGCAATTCCCTGAGGCGGATGTAGTTGCGCCATGTCGGTTCGCTGGGTATGCTGTCGCTGCTGGGCACTCCAACAAGATCGTGCTTGGGAAATTTTCTGTGTCTATATTGAGCGCTCCGGCGGGACTCGACCCAGTGCGTGGTATTGTGATGCCAATTGTACGTTGGCAAGTTGGTCAAGACGTTCTTTTTGGCGTCGCCATGCGGATCGTTGACTCGACCAAAATCGACGGTTGCTCCATTGACGAACAGACTTGCAGCCAAGGCCACGGCAGTCCTACTTGCGTCTTGCTTCCGTGAGAGCACCGAGTGATAGCTGATGGATCCCGCTGTTTTGGACGCCTTGATGGTCTGTTTGATGGGACCCTGCAGTGCAGAATGAGGGCCAACCTCGACAACCGCAAGCATGTTGCTTCGCTTTTCGTTTTTTCGCGCCGTGTCAAAGATCTCGGCCAGAGCATCGGCAAAGAGAACGGGAGATGTCAGGTTTCTACCCCAATACGTCGCATTCAGCTCCTCGCCTTGAACGGCCCTGCCCGTCACAGAAGATACCATTTGGACATGCTGCCCGCAGTGTAAAGGTTTGATGTCCTGAATGGCGTGCAGGTATTCTTCCAGAATCATGTTCATATGGTGCGAATGGTAGGCCACGTCAACCGCCAGCTTGCGGTTGAAAACGCCTCTGGCGGCGAGCGTCTCTTGAATGCTGCTCAACACTGCTTCATCTCCGGACAAGGTGATACTGGCAGGACTGTTGACGCACGCCACGACGACCTTTTCGCAAGTGGCGTCATTGTCAAGATATTTTTGCGCCTCGCCTACCGACAGTCCAACAGCAAGCATGCCGCCGGAAAGCTCGGGTTTCTTCTCCTTCAGCCGCTTCACCAGATGGCCACGAAAATAGGCGACTTTCAGACAATCCTGTGCTGTCATGATGCCAGCTGCATATGCCGCCGCAATTTCTCCGCTCGAGTGTCCGCACACCAAGGCTGGTCGAATTCCCCACGTCTCGAGCAAGTCGACGAGTCCAATCTGGATGGCGGTGCAGCAAGGCTGTGACAGGGCGGCTTCGTTGATTCGAGACGTTTCCCATGGTTTATCCAGCTCGGCGAGAAGCCGCCAGTCAGCACCGAGGTGGGTGAGATACTTTTCTGAGCGCTCCATGGACTTGGCAAATACAGGGTATGCGGCCAGCAATTCGCGGCCCATGCCTGCCCATTGAGCACCCTGACCTACGTGGTGTTAGACTCTTGTGTGCAAAAGTTTGCATATCCTCATCACGACTATACCTGTAAAAGCAAAGCATATTTTTCGCTCTTCAGCTTGTTGTAGGGCCCGATCCGTGCCCTCGACTATGTGTTCAAGTCCATCCACAAGTTCGTCACGACTGGATGCGGCTACACACCAACGAAACCTGTGGACAGACCGCCGATCCGATAGAGTGAAGGCAAGACTATCCAGAGATTCATTCGTATCAGGCAGCTTGTCCAAAATAAAGCGCTTGAAATTGGCCGCTAATTTCGCCACGCCCCCTTCCTGATCGTGCGACAAGGGAAAGAGGCGTGGTCGCGTCATGGCGTTGGTGGGTGAAGCTTTCAGGCTCCTCCTGTGTTGTAGAGTCGAATGGCCATGGACGTGCGTCGTCGTCGGTTCTGCTTCCGTTGGGTTTGAAACAATTATGGTCATGGCGAGACTACTTGTTTCCGTAACTTCTGCCACTTCGTGTGCCAAGTCTCCGTTGACTTTACCCTCGCAAGCTCGAATAGCGACTGGGGGGCACATGTGCTTCATATTGTCGAGGTAATCGTCGGCCGCATCCAGGATAACGTGGGCGTTTGTACCTCCATACCCAAAGCTGTTGACTGAGGCGCGGCGAGTGGCATTGTCCGGCCACTGGAGCATCCTTTTAGGCACCTGCACACAATGCATCAGTCCCAGCTTGACAGGATAGTAAAGGGGCTTCTGTGAGAGTCTGAAGACGCACTTCCATGCCCCAGCTTTCCAATGGAATGTCGCTGTTTGGTTTCATGAACGTGGCATTGGGGGGTATCATCTTTTTCTCGAGCATCAAAACCGTCTTGATCAGACCGGCCAATCCGGCCACACTCTCTGTATGGCCCACATTACCCTTGACGCTTCCGACAAACAGTCTATTTCCCTCTTGCCTTGCCTTGCAAAAGGTCTCATGGAGAGCAGTCGCTTCGGCCTTGTCTCCGGCCTTGGTTCCAGTTCCTGCTCGCCGAGTCAGTCATTTCTGCATCAAGGCATGGCAACCAGAAACGAACCATGTGCTTCCACATAGGTGGTATCCCTCGGGTCTAGGCCTGCCTGTTGGTAGGCTCTCTGAATCATTCTCCTCTGGATGTCGGAAGATGGCATTGTGACTCCAGGCGTGCGACCATCCGAGCAAACGTTGCTACCACGAATGACAGCCCGAATCGGGTCGCCGTCACCAAGGGCCATGTCTAAGCGCTTCAGCACGACAGCAGCCACGCCTTCACCCCTTCCAAAACCATCGGCACGGGAATCGAACGCGTAGCAGCGGCCGTGGGGAGAGAGGAAGCTGTCGCACAATTAAATCGTCGTCCCTCTTCTTTGAGCTCAGGAGCACTTACTCCATTGAAGATATGATATTGACCTGGTCTGGATCGAGAATCAAGTTCGTGCCACCGACTAGTGCTTGCGCCACGTCTCCCGCCCGGATGGCTTTACAGGCTTCATGAACCGCAACCAGTCCACCGGAACATGCTGTATCAAGAGTGATACTTGGCCCGTGCAAATCAAGCACGTAGGAAATGCGGTTGGAAACGAGCGCAGGTCCAGTTCCGGTAAATCGGTATCTTGTCCAATGTCAACATCTGATGAAAAAAACCCTCACGTCAAGAATCTCACCCTGGGGATAACTCGGGATCCCTGCCTAGGATCTTGTCATAGTCGTGATGTGAAACCGCGCAATATACCCCTGTATCTGAGCCTTTGACATTCTGCATCGTGATTCCCGCCGTCTCGAACGCTTCGTATGCTACTTCAAGCAGCATTCGTTGCTGAGGATCGATGGCCCTGGCCTCAATGTTGGTGACCCCAAAGAACAAATTATCAAACAATGCGGGATCCTGCTTGATCAAGTGGAAGCCTCTTGCGTTGAACTATAGCCTGTTAGTGGAAAGGGGGCGGCGGCAGCTTTCATGGCAGAGCTCGACTCACCGAAGCGTTCAAGTCAGACTGCGGGTGCCAGAAGGAATTCATTTGGAAGCGGCTGCTCCCGTTGCTTGACCATCCCGTTAAGCCCCTTGCCAGCATCTGCCAAAGGCCTTCCGGGCTCGTGGCAATACCTGAGAGGCGGCAGGACATTCCCACAACGGCGATCGGCATGAGACCATCGCCGTCTGTGCCGCTCGCATGGGAAGAGAGCCGGCCTGACATTGTGGGTAGTAACTGTCAAGTTTTCTGTCAGAGTCTGGTTTGCCAAAACGAATCGACATGTGCCTCTGCTGGGGCGGCTGCATATTATACCATATGCCAATAAGGCAGCGCTACTGACATTTGGTTGCAGACAGAGTGTCACGCGGAGGACGGTCTGTTCGCGGAGGAAACAGTCCACTTGCGTTGTCTGACACAGCTTTAGTTGTCTCATTGCGAGACACGACAACTGCTGATCGAGGAGATGTCGGCACCGCCAGCCCCCCCTGATATTGGCATCGCGTCTTGATTCAGGGGTAATGAGACAAATGAGATATGGAAGGGTGAAACCTTGACAAGGTGTTTCTCAGCTGGAAAAAGCAGACACGAGGTCGGGCGGAAGCATGTTATTGTTGTGAGATTGCAGAAATCGTTTCCAGCAGACGGAGGATAATAAGAAACACATTCCGTCTTGACTATATGAAAATACAACGTAATATACTGTAATACAGGGTGCCGCAAAAGTCAGACGAGGCTGCTTCTGTCAGTTGAACAAGCAAACATGACGTAATGGCCAGACGCCAAAATCGTTGATGTCAAAAGGTTGAAACTGGCCAGCCGCGCTGTTCATCAGAGGATAGATGATGCGCGACATTCAAAGCAAGAGTGAGAGAAATCGCTCACACCCAGGCGAGCACCGGTTCATCGACTCTCCCTGGCCAGCCGGAGCCACTCTTCATCCTGTCTCAAGAGCCTCAAGGTACTCTTCTCCAGACACATGAGCAGCTCTAGTCCCGCATCCGTTCTCTGCGGCAACACGTTGACCCAGCCATCCTTGATGGGCAGGTACGCATAGCGCAACGCTCTGATTCTCCCCAGCCCCGAACCCCATTCGGCACGATAAATGTCTCCCATGGCCGCAGTGCTGGTGACCTCGAGGTCGGGACCTTGGAAGTTGTCCATGCTTGGCTCGACCTTGTTCACCATTGCACTGGACTCAATGGCCCCAACCAGCTCCCAAATTCGCTCCGACGTCCACCACTCAATCGCGTCGGTGATTTGCCTGGCCATCTTGTACAGCATCCCGGGCTCGGTCGACTCCACGTCAGCGGTGGCGGCCGACGTTTTCGCGTGGACAACTGCATTTCCGGGATATTCCAACGGCAGCGGGGGATCCAGCCGCCTCCGAACATTGACCGTGTTGACAAAGGAGCTCGCAACGATGCCCCGGCACGATAGCCGACGCGCTCGGGAGATGTGACGCCACAGCACCGCGCACAGGATCGTGTTGTCGGTCAACAAGGGCAGTCCCTCGGACGGCGGCAGTGCAGCGTCCCTCATGGCGCGCATCGACTCCGCCGAGATGAACCAGTGCGAAAGGCTGAGTTTCTGCAACAGCGGGAGCCTGGGGTGGTGCCCGGAAACGGCAGCCTCGACCAGCTCTCGTTCCATGGCGCATCGGTACGTTTGACTCAGGCGATAGTTGGGGAAATCGCCGACTTCCTTGCCGCCACACCCAAACACGTTTGATCGGTCGAGAGCTTCCTCTGGAAATGCATCCCCGGGCGCGATGAAGCGACCGCCGGACAGCGCCGCCATGTGCTTTGCAAACGTCGTGGCCAAGGTGAGCATCCCGGCACCGTCCATGACAGAGTGGTGGCTGTTGAACGTCAGCAGCAGTCCGCCGGCGATGAACGTTGCAAGTACAGTGAGGACGGGACTTTGCTCTGCGTGGTGAACGCGAGGCTCCGGCATCAAAGCCAGGAGGGGGAATTCGCCAGGCGGAAACTCGCGGCGCTCGAGTGCATAGTAATCGATTTCCGGCAGCTCCTGGGAGTGGAACCAGACGCCAGCGTCATCCGAGATTTCTAGTTGGATCGTGCCCTGCTCTTCACAGTCCGGCACAACATTTGCCGCCAAAAACGGCATCTCCCCGATGGTGCTGGCAAGACTTGTCTCCAAGTCTCGCAGTACGAGCCGCCCAAGAGCCGGTGAGGACATGTTGAAAACCAGCACCAATGGCAATATGAATCGACTCTCGATTTGGTCTAGAGGAGTCAATTTCATCCATCCGGGGATCAATGGGACTCTTGGTGTGATCAAGGTGCTCTGGCGGCCCGTGGAGGCAAGAGATGGAGGTGAGATGGAATCGTCCTCATGGTTTTGAGGCGCCATGCCGACCCCATTCGCGGCCGCAGGTTGAGAAGGAGAAGTAGGCATGGTGGTCCTTGGGAATCGTGCGTCTGCCTCTTTACACCGGGCAGGTATGGAGGGAAGCATAGACGCGCTCTATTATCTCTTGTTGCTGCAAGCAGCTCTTGGGCCGTGGGAAAACCTGGGGTTCGGACTCTCATTGCCAAGGGAGCCCCGGGGTTCCAAAGGCGAACTGAATCATGGCCCACCCATGGACATTCCAGCCCATCCGCGCAACTATGCAGGGAAGCGTGAAACGATTCAATTTCATGCTCATTGTAGTTGTGGTAGCGTGGATTCCCACCGGTTGATTGAATGCAGCGTCGGTCAGCCCAACAATAGGTAGGAGGTTTGACACGTTCCTTCAGGCGAGCAGGGAGGGACCGCGCGAGGGGTCTACGATGAAGGCACAACTCGTGATGCAAACGACAAGTGCTGTATTGCAAGAGAGCTGGTAGAAGTGAAAGGCTTGATCATGGTGACATTTGTGAGAGAGGAAGATACCTAGCTAGCTAGAAGAGCCGGCGTAGGAACAACGACCAGATGCAGGCGGTGCCACACGTGACTGTGGGGGCCCTGGGGGCCTGGGGCCCTTACACACTGTGAGCTATCAGCAATTGTCACATGTGCACTATCAATTCTAGAATGGCAATTTTACTTGGTGTTTTCTCCTCACCTTTTGGACCTTTGGTTTGCGTCCATCCCTTCTTCTAGATGCTGATGGAAAGTATTCATGCAAGCAAGGTCTCTGGGCGGACTCGGACGTAGGGATGGGTGTGTCCATGATAGAGGCCGGAATGGTCACTGCCTTGGATTCCTTTTTGCCTCGCCATCCATTTCCGCAAAAGATGCCATGCCCGTTCTTTCCGAGACACGCTTGGCGATCATTATTCAGATCAGTTTACCTGTCGCAAGACGTCCCTACCCCCTTTTTTGTCTTTTTTTAGGGTGGAGGTAGGGAGGATGGCGGCCAAGACGGAACCTGAAAAGGGCACGGGGGTTTGGCACGCTGTGCAGCCGTTTATTGACCCCAGAAAATGGGGCGTTGCACGAAAAAACAATGAATAAAAGAATACCCCGCAGTATATGATTTAAAAGACACGCCGCGTATGTAATAGAAACAGGCAGCGATGAAGCGGCAAAGACTCGCCCGGATTACGCACACCGGACACAAAAAGTAATACCAAGACACGGAGCGAGACACGGAGACTGGCAGCATACAAATCGAGACTTGGATAGTGCGGACTGGCGCGGGTGGTGGCGTGGTTGCTGCGAATATATGATATATCTCGGCAATCACACTATTAGCTTGCAATAACGGATTTCCAAGCACAAACTCTTACCACGTATAGCTACTTAAGCCCAAAGACGACTCCTTTCTGGCCTACCCCCAAGCCTCTTAAACTTTCTACTCTCATGAAAGGTTACCCTTGGTCCAATATTGTGACTTGCACCCGAGCTTCAGTCCATCAAATCCTGAGCATCGTCTCTACAAATCTGAAACCCGTCAATCGACTGCCTACAAGTACGTTGTGACACATCGACTAATAAACATTGAGGCTAATATTTCCAATAGATAAAATGGCGTACATCACAGTAGTCAACAATGCGTCGGGGGACATTTGGGTCGGTGTCACTGCAGCAGATGACCAGGGAGATGAGAAATGGCAGCCGCGTAACGCTGTAGCTGTAAGTGGCAGAGGAACAATTGGGAGATGGTGAAATTTGTCAGGAGCAGGACCCCTGGAGCCACAGTCGAGACTGTCTTTGGGCCAGTGGACAATACTGTAAACATATATTAGCCGGAGATCTAGTCAGGCAAGTACATGTTATTTTAAAGTCAACATGTTCTGGGGGCGGCGAGAGGGCAGAAATGGTTTTATATACCTACTTAGGTAGGTAGTAATTTTCATGTATCCAATTCACCAAAGTACCTAGAATTCATCTCCTACAAGTTCCACCAACCCGTCTTGGCGGTGAAATAAAGGGGCTCTTATGCCCCAGTCGCTATACGCTGAATAGCAGTCAACATTCTGATCACGACTGGCGAATTTTAGATCAATTGATTGCGGCACTAGCTGGCACTTACTATTAGGTAGCCACGAACAGGTGGCTGCGGGCAAAGCTTAGCGTTCAGAAGTAGTCTGGTGAGATCACCTAGTCTTGGGCCTGTCTTCGCGTTGCCCCGATAATTTTCCTCTTTAAGCTTATTTCTCATCGTAAAAGTGTATTCAAGTCCTAAATTTACGTCCAGTTTCTCCGGGTCCACAGCAATAAATCGTCCTCGCGGCAGGAGCCAATCAAGCCCACTAATGTGCACAAGGGTCAATAACGGAAAGCAAGAACTATTAATCCGAACGTTTATTTACTCTGTTGCCTGGGCGAGATCTCCGCACGAGCAACGCGTTCACTCTGCCTCACGCAGAGGAGACCACTTCCGACTTCGAGACATAATTTTTCGAGTCTGTTAGAGTATAGCTGCAATGAATCGGCAAGGTTTGCAGCAGCAACCTGACTTTGAAGCGGCAGCTCGCGCCCTGGAGGTTGTTGTTGACAATGTGAAGCTTTGTTCCAACATCCCAGCTGTTGACAGTGGTGCGGCCTTGGAGCGCAAAATGGACGCTCTCATGGAACAGATGGTCTTGTTTAACCGGAAGCTAGATGCACTGGATAGCAAGGTTACGGCACTGGGTGGAAGGTTTACGGGACTGGATGGAAAGTTTATGGGACTGGATGGAAAGTTTACGGGACTGGATGGCAAGGTTATGGCACTGGATGGCAAGGTTACGGGACTGGATGGCAAGGTTACGGCACTGGATGGCAAGGTTACGGGACTGGATGGCAAGGTTACAGCATTGTGAGTGATACCGCGTTCTTATTGATTCCACAGTCACGGCTGACAGGCGTTTCGCAGGGACAAGAATTCTAGGGCTCGGGCGGCGAATTCCATTGTCATTAGTCCTTTGATGGAACTGACACCAATGCACAATGTTCGGACAGGTGAAGAGATATCCGATTGCCCATCCACACTGGGACAGCTTGAGGGATTATCAAGTAAGCCAAATGCACTAAATCTGAGGAGGAGATGGCACCTGGGTGCATGTTAGTGCTAATGCTTTGTTTTGCTAGTGCAAGAGTTGGCACGATTATTACGAGAGCTTGGTGAGCCTGTGCCTAGAGCCGAGCGTGAGAGAAGGCGATTAGTAAAATTAGCTTTTGGCCTTAGAACACGGGAGGTATAATAAAATATAATAAAATATAATAAAATATAATAAAGTATATTAAAGTATTTATAAAAATAAGTATTTACAGCCAGGCCTGAATTCTTTATATTTTAAGGTATATATCAGGCACGCAGTTAAACTTACCTTTTAGTGCTATTAAAGACGCTTTTAAATACCTATTAGTTGTCACGAGGGGCGGGCCGTGCCGGCGAGCCGAGGCAATTCTTGGCAATTTGCCTGCCAGAAATAGTATTTTCCGAGAGCAAGGCGCACATTGGCTACGACGGGACACTTTGACTGGCGGGATTTACTATCACGGGCATGGATTCGTCCGAAAAGCGTAGTAGCCGGTCACATTCATTGCCTATCCCAAAGTTTGAACCAGACTGCTGCCCACGTTCCATGTTGTCTAATCTCGGAATGACATGAACCAAATACCCCTTGTATGCGATTCGCTTTTCTGCTGGGTATTGGCAAAATCCGCAATGACGATATTGCCGAGAACAATATTCCTGGGTGCACCCAAAGGGCTTAGTCTTCCTTTGTCTCCTCAGCGCTCTTCAAAAACCTGTCTGGCTTTCCTGGACGTGGGCGAGAGGCGAATAAAGCTCCGGGTTATTCCCTTTAGAGCCATCCTCCCTCTTTCCAAACTTGGCCGGTGGGTACCAACTGGGTCCGGTGGACGCATCCAACGCGGGGCCATTCTCAGACTTTTTTGTAATGATTCGAAAGACGGCTGGCCTGTATGTGGTTTCCGACAGCGGATCGTAGAGGTCATGGGGAATTCCAGGAGCGGGCTGTTTAATCGTCAGTGCTGGCGTTTTTCTGGCCATGGGGACAATTACATCGATTGGAGCGGCCGCGACCACGGCAATACATGCCGCGAGGATAGTTGCTTTGGAAACCATAATGATGATGATAAATACCGCGAAGCTGATGGTGAATTGCCCAGAGATTTTAAGAATAAAAAGCTACATCGCGGCGATGGAGGCCATTTTTATAGTTGAACCCAACCCATGCGAATGAGTCTCTCGTAGCTAGTAAGCCTGTTACGAATGGAAACTTGTAATTTGCTGATAAATTATCATGGTTAGCCGTTCGAGAATTTGTGCGCAGTGACTCTCTCTTGACGGTATATTCTTCATTTGTTCAACGCCGACACAGCCGCACCATGCAAAGGTCCCGTACAACACAAAATTGGCGCAAGGGCCCTCTCCAAAAGCTCTGATTCGTAGCAGTTTGACAAACGATTCCTATTGTAGTGTCATGGCGGCTCGGCGGGCGTGCATGAACGAAAACAACGTAAACGACCGCCGGCACTATTGGTCCGGCATTGTCCTAATAAGGAAAGTATTTCAACGCAAAATCTTATTGGTGCCCGCGCCGGTTCCAGGATCAAGTCCTTGGCATTATTCGCCCGGTGGAACACGAGGCTGTCACAAGATATAGGGGTTACCAACACACAATTACATGTGGCGTGGCCACGCCCATTTTTTGGTGTGACAGTTATGAGCCCGGGAGGCATGCTACGTCCTATAACTTGCCGGATTACCGGTAATTACTACATGTACTAATTTACACCACAACATGCTATTACTCACAAGTTTAAGCTCCTGATACAGGCCATAAAAGAAGTAGCCCCATAAACGCGTTATGTAGCCTAAAATGGCATATAGATCGCTATAGCGGTGAGAAAGACCCTATCACTCGACTATATCCGCTAGTTGATATTAGTATTTAGGCGCATCTTATTCTTACGGTACTTTTAGCGTCACAGAATATGCTAGAAAGTAGGGGGTGTGTTACGAGATGTAGGGGCTAACACACAATTCCATGTGGCGTGGCCTCGGCTATTGCTTACTCCAAGAGGGCCGAAAAAGATGTTGCAAAAAGATGGATGTGTTTTTAATCCCATTTTTTGCATCCATTACATTCCATGGCCTTTTTTCATTTGGTCCAAGTTGCCACAAATGGCTGCGAAATATACCAAGCCCAAGGCCCAGTACTCTTGGTTACCAGACGAGGACAAGTCACTGTTGCAGAGTGACAATGACAGCAGAGAGCTTGACATGGGGCAAGCGACTGTCCGTCTAAAGAAAAGGCTCCTCATATCAACCATCTGCAACGCAATATCGTTGCTACTGTTCATCGGTATCGGCGTTGCCCGCCTCCACGACAGCCGTCAGTTGAATGGCAATTTGCGAAAATGCTCATCGTACAGTACATGGCACCAGCACCCACCACCTGCATTGTTACTAAAACTATACAGGTCCTATTCACGATCAACTCGACCTTGAGCCCAGTATTCAAAAGATCAACGGCACCTTGTTCCCCAGCAACGCCCCGTCCATAGCCCGTGAACTGCCAAACCCAGCTGCCGATCAAGTCTGGGAAGAATGGGAGCTGACACGAGTTTTGCCCATTACCAAAGACCAAGTCATCAAGATGGGAAAAGACCCCGCATATACCGCCAAGTTGGAGGACGACATATGGGGCCTAGGAGACGACGCCTACGCCGGCGTGTTGGACGTGTACCACCAGCTTCATTGCCTCAACTCCCTGCGGCAAATTGCCTACGGGGCGTATTATAACGCGTCAACCGTTAATCCGAAAGTCGCGAGGCTGCCGGAGATTCACGTCAATCATTGCGTGGATATTCTGATGCAAGCTTTACAGTGCAGCGGCAACGTCAATATCATAACGCTTGATTGGGTCGAAACGCAAACGTACCCGTTTCCTGACATGTAAGTCAGTTTTGGAGGATGCTTGTAGCAGGGGATTGACATTTGGCAGGTCTGTGAATCGGCAATGTGTCAATTTTGAGCGGCTGACGGCGTGGCGGAAAGAAAACACGATTGACATGGATAAATATGTCCGGGTCATGAAGAAGCCCGAGGGTATAAGGGGACGTCCCATGGCGGATCAGTTCTACGCGTATCATAACTTGGACAACCCTAACCACCTCCATGGCGCTAATCTAGGTCAGGATTTCAATGTTTGACACGCTGTGAAGTCGTAGTAATGTAAGGGCCTGGGCTTGATGGCATTGTAGCTCGTGGCTTTTAATTCACAAGTTGACTTTATGACCACATGTACCCATCGTGGAACGTGTAGGGAACATACATGCACACAGAGTTGGACAAGATTGGCCACGAAACTGCAAAATTGTATTAGAGGCCCCCGCCCCCATTCCCAACCCGAGAAAAAAAAAACAACAACGAAAATCACAAAAAAACAATCTCCCCCCTGCCCTTCCCCCAGGAACAAATCACCAAATGGCATTGGCCTAATCCACTATAAGTCAGTCAATTGCACCAGATATGAGTTTGAAACTGCTTGCACTCACCTTGCGGCCGCAGACAGGACTTGACTCGACTTCAAGACAAGTCTTCATCCATCCTTTCATCCAGCTTGTCACTGGCAGGACGGTGAAAAGGGCGCGGGTCGGCCATGTCCTCATCCTCCTCCCGTCGTGGGTACCATGGGTCACCACCGGTACTGCCAATGACTTGGAGTGGAATCTGGAAAAGTGATTCCGCATGCTCAATGACGGTTTCTTGGCCGGCCGTCATAGGATCCAAGGGCAGTTTAGACGAGTCGTTTGCGACATAGTCAAAATCTGTCCAAGGCTGAGTCTCGCGCTCCATCAATTCCTGGGCGAAAAATGGTGTCCACGGGAATTTTGATGGCAAGGTGATGTCACCTTTTTCACTGGCCTCCATGAATAGTTTTGCCCAGTTGGGGAACGCGGCCAGAGTAGGACGGTTGGCGCGGTGTTCAATCGCCCAACCCAGCTTCCTTTCCAGACGTTGCGGCCATGTCTGCTTGCAATCTTTAGCTGACTCATGGTCAGCTTTATTGCAGACAGGACAGCCGTGCACAAAGCCGTCCTCGGCCGGATGGACACAGTCACGGACTCTATGTCCATGCTTGAGGCAATTGCCGCAAAAGAGCTCATTTTGAGCTTTCTCTTGGGCTGCCCGGGCCGTGTCGCGACCTCGAGACACCTCCTGTTGACGCCACTTGTTGGCATCTTGTATGATTGAAGGGTCCTGGCCGAGCCTGGCCCCCAAGCTACGAGCAGAAGACGATGTCCCCTGACGGCGAGATTTTTGAATGCCACCACGGCTGGGCCCGCGTGATTGGCCGCGGCGGTCTTGTCCACGGGAGTTCTGTCCTTGGACTTGCCACCCTCGGCGGTCTTGCCCTCGGCGGCCTTGGCCTGACCGTGGCGTCTGCGACCCCCGAGCGTCCCGGGCCTGTCCACGGAATGCTCCGCGTTGGACTGAGGCCGGAGTCCGGGGACTGGCTGTGATGCCAAGCAAATCCCTGGGAGGGGCTGGCGGCGGCGGCAGGAGTCCACCTGTCAACATGCGTGAAGCATTGTTGGCATAGATGACCCAATCATCGTCGTCATGCGCCTCGGAACGCCTTGCTATATCCTCCATGGCCCCCGAGAGATCCCTGGTGGTGGTGGTGGCCACGAAGCTGGAGCGCTCGTCGTTGAGGGAGCGGACTCTGCGGCTGCCACCGGGCTGCTCCACAACGCCGTCTTCTACTCCCTTGCTCATCTGCTTGTTTGAAGACATGATGATGGTGGTGATGGTGGTGGTGGTGGTGTTGGTGTTGTTGTTGTTGTTGTTGTGATGGTGGTGGTGATGCTTGTGCTTGTGCTCGTGCTTGTGCTTGTGTGGTGGTGATGGTGAGTACAAATTTTAAAAATTCACTCGCCCATCAATTATTCAATGTAAAAATTTTCTGGCACGTGGGAGCTTTTACACAGTGGAAGCAGGGGGGCTGGCAGCGGCTAGTTAAAGTGAGAAAAAAGTGAACAAAAGGGGAGCAGGCTGTCCGAGAACCTGGCCATGAATTTGCATCACAAAAACAAACTAGAAAATATTTGTACGCCATCTGTCTCTTCTGCCTTTTACACCTTGACAGCATTTCCATTGACATATCCATCACAGACAAACTCAACATGTCCAAGGTGTGTCGATGTGCTTGAACACGGAATATCAAATTCACTAACTTTCAGCAGCTCACACTTACCGATTGGGCCAACCAGCCCGAGGCTGTGGTCTTTGGCCACTGCAACCCGAACAACCTTGCGCCATACGAGCAGGTTCAACTCCTGTTTGAGGGAATGGATATGACTGCCGAGGGTCATGTCAAGCTCTACGTCGTGGCCGACGACACCGAGAGCCAGATCATGTCGGCCGAGTTGAAGCAGCGCGCTGCCCTCTCTCCCGACTTCGCCATTCCCACCATTTGCGACTATGCCTTGCTTCTGCAGCAGCTGCGAAAGACCAAGGTCTCCAAGCTGTGGGAACAGGCCTGCGTTACCATCGTGGCGCAGATTGACCAATATTGCTCGGCACCATTCGCCTTGGCCATCCTCGAGTTGGTCAAGTGGGCAGCAAACCCAACGTCCCAGACTCGTCTTCGTTTCCTGACAGTCTCTACCTTTGAAGAACCGGAAGAGTCCGTCCAGAGGGCTCTGGAGTACTTTTGCCCAAAGCTCACGGTCTCACTGGTACAGGTGCCAACTCGGGTCGCCACCACCCGCCCAGCCCCGAAACGACTGCTCTGGTCGGATCCAGACTCTGTCGATGAAGTCGTCAAACTTGTTAAAGCGCAGGTCGACGGGCAAAGGACATCCATTGTTCTTTGCCACCCTGATGAAATACATGCCATTATCACAGGTTTGTTGCGGATGAGGGCAAGGGTCAATAATCTGGTCAATAGTAGCCGTTTCTTGGCCCATATACTGGCGATGAGAATTGAACCAGTCAAGCCCGGTTCCTTCCCGGCAGTTCTTTTCTGCACCGAGAAGAGCCAAATTCCCATGGAAATTCACAACCTCGGTGCCATCATCATTAGCCGTCGTCGACAGGCAGCCATTTGGGAATGTGGCCGGATCGTGTACAAGCCCGAGCAAACATCGCAGTGGGAGGTCAACCAAGCTGTTTCGTACGTGTGGCAAACCTCGACACCCACGACGGGAATTACAATCTTGGCGCCCGAGGCGTCAAAGCTCGCTGAGCTGCTGCCTCGTCGTCGAGTTGACAATGACCAATCCATCCCATTCCTCCTAGATCTCCTTGCCAACTTTGATGGAATGAGTATGGATGACATGCTTGGATGTTTTGTGACAGACTTTCCCATTGTCTATTCGAACCTGTCACAGCTGAAGCTCATGAAGTGTGCCCGCGAGTGCAGTGACGATCTTCGCATGTTCTCGCTGGTGCCAGGTAATGCACAGGAGCTTTTGTTGGAATTGCTGCCACAGTTCGAGCACCAGTTTCTTCCTGCTTGGTTCCTCGCAACTGGCATCACCTTCCCAGGGGCCACCGTGTCGGCCAAGAAGGCCATGATTCGACTCGCTGCCATTGTGCACGAGGGGGTGGGCTTTATTGATCGCGGAAGCATCTTCTGGCAGGAGGTTCCGGAAATCGAAAAGGCCGAGCACCTCCAGACCCTTGGTTACAAAATCTCGGGGCAGTTCAAGATGCCTCACGGGCTGATGAGGCAGGGAGGTCTGTGGGTGGCACTCGCGGCCTGGCACTCTGCGTCCGTAACCCTGCAAGGGTTCAAGGACGTCTCCAAAGCCGAGACCGATGCTGATTGCGTCAAAGACATAGCTAATGGTTCTCGCATCGTGCTGATCCAAACCCAGCTTGCAAAGCGGATCGCGGACTTGGTTGATAAGCTGGAGGATTTCATCGGCATCAGCCCCCAAGACAAGGGAAACCAACCATTGTCCTTGGACGAGAATGACTGCATAGTTATTCAAACCGTCATGGTGCAGACTTGGATGCATCGTACCATTGGCATTGCCAAACAGCCTCGTGCCGATGGCGCGGGACATACCATTCTGTGCACCGACATGGTGTCGATGGACACCCCGGTAGCTTCATCTGGGACAGACCTGATGCCCTTTGCCGCCATTATGGAATCCCCTGGCACAGGAGACGCGTCCATGCTTGTGGCGGCACTGCATCTTCAACGTCATTTGCGCACAAGAACCCCCGTACTGTTTGGGTCTTGTGTCATCCTTCCCATTGAGCGTATCTGGGAGTGGCAAAGAAACGAAGGAGGCAAAGACTTTCTTTTGCATATTCGCTGCCACCACCCTCCGGTCGGCGAACCCGAGGTATAAGTCTGATTTTGGGAGACGCTGGAAGCGTCGTGGTTGGCCGTTTGGCATGGTCACGATTCATGAGTGCGATCAAAAGGTCCGATAATGGGCGATGAAGTTTGTGCGTATATTCTAAATTAAAAAAAAGTTTCGCCTCCCAATCAATGCTGATCTATGTGACTGTCTGTTGGTCAAATTCCAGTAAAGTCATCTCCAGCGCTTTCGTTCAAATTATACACTTTCGGGCCAAAGCTATATGATGAGGGACGAATTGATCTGGTTAGATATAACACTCTCAGCTCGTTTTTGTGTTAATAAATAAGCGAGATGTTAGTTTTGACGGAATTTTGTGATTCTTGACCGGGGTGGCTGGTTCTGGTTGGCTGGTTGGCGTGACTTGTTCACGTTCAACTCACCTTGTGCTCACTACAAGCAGTAACTCATTTAATCACGGTCAGCTAGTAAATTTCCTAGTTTTTAAATTCGTTGCAAAATGCAAGCGCCCGTTTAACTTTACTCCAACAACCACCAACGCCAGCAGCAGCAGCAACAGCAGCAGTAGCACCACCACCACCACCACCACCACCACCACCACCAACAGCAACAGCAGCAGAAGCAGCAGCAGCAAAATGGCGTTGAATGAGCAGCAAGTTTTGAAGCTTGCCAAAGAGAAGCCAGAGGAGTTTGTCGCCTGGGCTGAAGGCGATATCGTCAACCAGCCGCTCAAGGAGACGGTGATGGCAGCGGTACGCAAAGTCCGCCCTCACGTCACCACTGGCCAAGTGATGAGTCTCTTGCACGACATGAGATCCGAAGTCTACCAGGAGAAGCTCCGGGAGCTTACTCCCCCCGTCACCATTCTCGGCAGACCATTTGTCGAGTTCAAAATGATGGAAAAGCTGTGCCGAATGCTCGGCATCAGCATGTGGTGGATGACTGAGAGATACTGTCCCGCCCAGACGACTGAGCCAGCCGACATTGTGTACAGCACACTGTACCTGAAGGCTCAGGAGGCCACCAAGGCCAGGTTGGTGGAAAAGTTTCAAAGATTCAAGCTCGAGCGTGAGGCCAGGGAGTCCTCCCAGCCCGCTGCGAAGCCCGTCACCAAGCCCAGCGCACCCGGTGACTTGGGAAAGTCTCGATGGGCTCCCAATACCGAGGCTGCTGCTGGCCCAGCGCCGAAAGATGATTCTGGCGTGGCTTCAGGCAAGTCGTCCAAGGACACTGCCGCCACAAAGCCCGCCGCTCCATCCGCAGGTGGCAAGGGCAAAGGGAGGGAGATGGACCCCTCGGAGGAGGCACTGAGATCGGCTTGGAAAAGCATCATGGGCAGCGAGGCGCCTCCAAGCTGGCCTGCCTGGCCGGGATTCCCGCACCACGAGTTCGGGACATTTGACATTCCGTTCCCCCCGGAGAGAGACTGGGAGGCTTGCTACGGGCGTCCGGGTCGGGATCTCCGGCTCTACGTGTCCCCGGCAGTCCAAGTTGACTGTCACGTTTACGGCGAGGGGTTTCGCAAGTTGGTTGTGCGTCTACGCGACCAACAAGCCGCGACTCCATTCAACCACATGGAACTGTTTCGTTCCTGGGCTGGACTTGCCGCATGGGCCAATCAGCTCGCAAAGGGGAATCAAGATATTCCCATCACTGACTTCATGAAGAATTACCTCAGGGTCAGTGTCAAGTGCGCGTTCACCGTGATCTCTGGTGAAGATTGATTGGTTTCATTTTTATCTCCTTGTTCTTGTGGGAAGGGCGGGAGAGGGGGGGAGGGGCGGTTTTCTCTTTTTTTTTTTTGGTATTTGGTATTTGGGGATGAATAAAAAAGTTGTGTTGTCTGGTCTCAATGAATTTTGCACATGTGCAATGCCAAGTTTTGCCAAAGTGAACAGTCCTCAACCACCACCCCTTTTGTAAGAGAGAGCGTAGAAGATTACGTTCAAGAAACTGTAAAAAAGGGTGACTGGTCAGCCGCTCCCGCACGTCAACGCCAGCGCGTACTCGTAATTTTGCCAGCATATTTATAAGTAGAAAAGTAAATTTACGTTGGTGAGTTATACATGTTAAGAAAAAAAAAAGAAAAAAAAAACTAAGCAGTGGCCCACGTGGCTCTGGCGTAAACAAACGGTCGAATCGAAATTTACCGCCCGACAACTGGCAACTTTAAACAGCACAATCTCGACTTTACCTCCAACAACGAATTCTTGTTTGCTACCAAAAAGAATCCAAAACTCTTCCCATGTAAGCAGACCCGTGTCTCTTCGAATTGTGTGCTAACCACTATTTTGTAGCACTTGACAAATTTACAAACAAGCCGACAATCCCCTCCGCGATCTTGATTCTCGACAAAATGGCTAGCTTTCGAGATGTTCGCGAAGATCATGCCAACGAGTCTCACGATCAACTGCGGGACAAAGTCCTCACGTTTTGGCCCAATGGTAAACATGACCTTGGCGCTTCGACATCGGGTATCAACTGCCTGATTGTGCTTCTTAAAAGAATCTACGTCTCCATGAATGAGCCATTATGGAACAAGCATGATGAGTCCGTGAAGCAAATGGAGGACGATAACCCGTTTATGGCTCACGCCTGGCTGCTTCTCGGCCTGTCGCTAAATACAATTGGTGTTGCCTTGGACAATCTTACTGTCCAGGTATGGGGAAAGAAATTGGACAACGTCGCACCTGAAGACCTCCATTTCAAGAACCTTGTGAGCCACGCGCGAATGCAGACCACCCTTTGGTCCATGCCGCAATTCAATCTAATGCTGGATCATCTCTGGTGGCAGCAGGATACTCGTCGGTGGCGCCGGCTCCAGCACAAGGCCACGCCTACTGAGGTGAAGGACTACTTTGCAAAGTGGCATCCTACGCCGACTCCCGACTCTGTTCGACTCGATGCCTTTCCAGGAATGAGCCTGGACGTCGAGGTGAACAAACTGTTTGGAGAGTTCTCCGTCGGAGAATTTACCGTCCTGGTCCGCCCAGACGCACCGTCCTTCTTTTACGCAACGTTTACGGTAAAGGATGTTGGCCAAGAAAAGCTTGATTTCAATGCTTTTCGCCGTTTCACTCTGGAGGTTGGCAAATCTGTCGACGTCGATGGAGTCATGCGCTGGCAGCGAACAGGACGCCCAGGACAAATGCCATACAACCTCATGGCTATTGTCAAGTATAGGGACACTGCTGATGGCAGTGACTTGATTCGGGTCTACGATGATTTCGGCAATAATAGCATTCCAGTTGGAAAGTTGCCCGACTACGCATCGCCTGAATGGAGAATGGCGGATATGAAAAACGGGGACACCTTTTTGGCCTTGTTTGTCTATTCTCGCATGCCGCCAAAGTCCAGACCTCCGTTTCCAGAGGTCTACAAGAATGTCGACAAGACTGAATTTTGCGAGCAAAGTCGCTTTTTCTCTAAATTTTCTGCTGGGCGCCGAGTGAGAAAGCGAGAGTAAGACGCACATATATGGTACCGATGGCACATTCGTGTGCACAAGGCAGCTTCGTGGCCCTTTTTTCTTTTTTTCCATATTCTGTTTGTTATGTAGTTGGCACTCAATCAATGCAGAACTCTTGACTCATCCAAGTCAATTCATTACTAGATTCAGCTCCATTGCCTTTGTCGCTTTCATTGTCATCCACACACAACCCTTCTTCCAGGTGGGAATCCGAGTGCTGCGCCCGTATTGTTAAAGTGAGAAAACACGAGATTCTAAAAGTTGTGCTTACTGGCTGCCAATGCCAAAGAAGCTTGAGGAATTCCTTTACTGCCGCTTTATATTTCGTGGTGGATATTGTGTAAATGAGGGGGGATTTATTAGGATATGGCTTTGCTTTTACATCTTCTCATTTAACTGACCAAGTTTCGCCCTGCTATGCTGCTATTTCATGTGCCATGTAGACCAATTGCTTACTCTGTGATTTCACTTTACTTTTCAGCAGCCCCAGGCCTAGAGATGTTACGACAAGTGTCACCACTGATTCCATAAATACCATGAATTACATATTTTAATAGCTAAAAACCTTCGGTTTCGTGGACCTCGTCCACAATAAGGCAAACGTAATACCACGGAATCTGGATTGCAAACGAGGAACGGTGCCTTTATCTGAGTATCTCTGCAGAGTAGTGCATTTAGATACCGCAAGTGTGTCGTAGTAAATTCAAGTAAACCTTGGATTCCAAAGGCGCTGAGTTGTAAAGCAGTGACACTAATTTGGTGAAAATATTACGTGGTTTGGTTGCGTCGAGATCACAGTAATTCTCTTCTGTTTTTTTACCATTGTGTAGCCCGTTTGCACCTCAAGTGCCGGTTTTGTGCAAATAATAAAATTTGCAGCTGCCATGGTGCACAGACTCAGTCACCTACAGAAGCCAGACCAGACAACTCCAATCTCATTCTTCACACTTGAAATACAATTTCATGAAATTCGAGTCTTCCCTGCGTAACGTGCATCCCTTTTATTTTGATTGTTTTACGAGTCTAATGCAGCCTGCTAACTCGCCAACTTGAACTAGACGAAAAAAAAAAATGTCCGAACCACGACCCTCGAGATCGGCCAAGTCCAAGGCCAAGGCCAAACTCACCAGGAGAACGACTCGTGGGAATATACGAGACGAGAACGACGATGAAGAGCACGAAGAAGTCGAGCTCGACCCTCGAAAGATGCACGTTGGAATGCTAAAGGCGTTTCAGAGGATGGCTGACAAGTACCAGTCCGATGTGCTTGATCCAGCCTCGGCCATCCACAAGGATCAGCTCACGGCCCTGAACAAGCGGATGAAGAAGTCCATTCATCCTGCAATGCCCAAGGTCCATGTTGGTCGAGATGGCTGGTCCAAGCAGGACGAGAACGACGTTCTCGACCAGTGGGAAGCCGAAAAGCACCACTGGATCGACATTAATGACGTGAAGCTATATCACATGCTCTGGAAGATATGCCTACAATACGCCAAGTGCACGCCGTGGGACATTGTGGGCTTCAACACCAAGCTCTCTTTTGAGCTTAGTTGTCGAGGCGACTTGGGAGGCGAAGTTGAAGAGAACCACACCTGGTCCTCCGATTTCAGTGACCACCTCGCCTGGCTCATCCCTCATCCCGCATGGGCCGGGGGGGAAAGCTCTTCGCGACCGTCTTTGCTAGCCACCGCAATTCAGTACGCCGTTATTCTGCGTACAAACGATCAAAGAGTCTGGCGGCTCAACCACCTCGGGGACGAGTTCTTGGTGGCATTCGCCGCCCTATGTCGAGAAAGCTGCCCTTGCTCAATTGCAGGGGTCCACGCAGAGGTGCTCGCACGTAGGAGGGCGGAGGGAATCAAGACGATTCCCATCATCTCCCGCGTGTTTCAGTCGTTGGAAAAGGTGATCCAGACACCAACTGACAGCTTTGTGCCCGCAGATGAAGAGCCGTACTTTGTCACGACTCAAGATTTGACCAATCTCATCCGGGCACTGGATCAGATTGTTGATCCAGACACAAAACTCAGAATGTTCTTGCCCGTAGAGTTTGTGTATGAGAGCGCACAGTCGGCTCACGGCGGCCGCCAGCCCCCGACCAGAGAACAGCTTCACGAGTACCACAAGCTGGCTCTGATTGAGGAAATGAGGCGCAAGGCCAAAGCCACTCGATCGGCACAGAGCAACCTTGGCCCAGATGACGATCACCAAGGCGGCGGCCAGGGCGACGACGACGACGACGACGACGATGTCGATCCGTTTCAAAGCCTCACCCTGCCTCGGCGGCCCACGAGTACCACGAGTACCACGAGACGGCGGCGCTTGTCCCATGTCTCTGCAACGCCAAGCGACGACAGAAGTCGCCCGGCCGCATCGTCGGAAGCTCAGGGCTTGGACAGCGAACCGCGTCTCACGCGCCCACGGCCATCATCCGCAGGGATCACTCAATCCCTCGGCCTTGGATCGAGTCGTGGTTTACATTGGGGTAGTGATGACTCCGGCCAAAGTGGCGGGGGCGCATCAGAGCCAGAATCGCGCGATGATTTTGGCCTTGACGACGGGTTCGATCATGGCGGTGAGTCTGAAATGGGTGGTGGCTCCGGCCATGACGGCGAGGACGCACCCGAGCCAGACCTAGGTGGTGAGTCTGGCCATGATGGCGAGGAAGCACCCGAGACCCTCGACGACGATGCAATGAGTGTCGACAGCACAGAGTCAGAATGTGCGCTGGGGGGATCAGCACGAGAACAGCCAATGGCTCCTCGTACTTACCGCTTTGCTCGATGGGGTCAAACCGGACAAACTCGCACTTCTGGTATGGGTTTGTTTCGCTAGGTCGTCAGCAGACATGCTGCTTTGGCGCTGAATTTGGAGACGTGGACGGGAGCTAATGTGTTGCGGCTTCTGCCAACACCGGAAAAAAAGGGAAAAAATCAGAGGCGGAGGGACCATTTGATTGATGTACAATAGCCAGATGACACAGAAGATGAACACAGTCGGATCAGAGTTCCATTCGCCTTGATAAATTTGCCAACCTCTATGATTCCACCATCTGTCAAGACCAGACTTGGAAGATAGCCAAGCCCCCCCTTTCCTCTCAATCCTAATCTCAAAAACAAGCATAAAAAAGCCCCTTCCCACTTCCAAAAAGAACTGCCAAGTTGTATTGACCTTGCACATAACTGTGTGTGGCCCTGGCACTCATGGCAACGTGTGACACACTCTCAATCCCAATCCTCGAAAAAAAGAATAACAAACAAGCCCCTCGCCACTTCCAAGAAGAATTGCCAGATTTCATTGACGCTTTTTTAAAAAAAAAAAACAACGAGACGGTGAATTTGCTTGTGGTATGTATCTTGTGGGGAAAAACTTTTACAACTCGGACGAATTTCTGGGGGTTTCTTCGTGGTTGTTGGACTCTGGGAAGGAGCGAGCGGGAGCTCCTTCCGTTTTCGTTGGCACATCACGTCTTCCCTTGTTCGCGTCGGCGCCTCTGGAATACGCAGACATCTGGGACAATGGAATCGGAACGATTGCAGGGCGAAACTCGGTCAATTAAACGAAAAGATGTAAAAGCAAACCCCGACCAAATGAGTCCTCCGCATTTCCCCTCGTGTGCACAATATCCACCGCGAAATACAAAGCAGCAGTGAGACCTCGAGCTGGCTTCTCTGCAAGGAATATCTCGGCGGCCTTGCGTTTTGACAATCAAAAAAAAAAGAAAAAAAAAGAAAAAAAAAGAAAAAAAAAGAAAAGAAAAGAAAAGAAAAGAAATACATACCTACATACGACCCACTGTAGGTACTTTTTTTTAGCGAGCAGGCTGCTGGCGGTCAAGTCCAGAAAGTGAATAACAGCAACGGGCAAACGGCAACGAGCAAACGGGAAAATAAAGGGCACCCAAACAATCCGTTTTTGCTCCTTGAACCGACTTGTCGAAGCGGCGAGCTTCACTTTCGCGTTGGCGGCCAGTAAGCCCGACTTTTGGAATCTTGTGCTGTGTTTTCGCACTTGAACAATACAGGCGCAGCACCCCAATTTACACCTGTATGAAGGGTCCCGAGGGCATTCAAAATTGCATGGAAACTTTAGATGAAAGGGTTTTCAAGTATTCCATCTGCCACTACCTGGAATATGTTGCCAGCCTCTATCATCCCATCATCTGCCAAAGCCGGGCTTAGAAGCCATCCAAGTCCCCCAAATCCCCCCCCTTCTCGAAATTCCAATCCTCAAAAGAACAACAAAAAGGCCCTCTCCCACTTCCAAGACGAATTGCCAAACTGTATTGACCTAATTCACTGTCAGTCAGTTAACCGAGCGGAACTTGGAAGCTGTTGCGCTTACCTTGGACAAGTCTTTACACAGCTTGTCACTGCCCACCAGGCGACATTCGAGAATAACAAATAGTCCATTCGTCAGTCGGATCCGCTTGGGTTTGCAAAAAGCGAAAAAATTGACCCAGTTCACCCCCTTCTTGGGCCGGATGCTCTTGTTTATACGCTTCGAATGCCTCTCTCACCGCAACGTCATGTGGGTTGGATTCGTCAAAATGCACAACCGACTTCCCCTGGGAGTCGAAGGAAACTTGTATGCCGATCTGCACCAAGTCGAGGCCATTTTGAGGCTGCTGATGAGTGGCCTGGGACATATTGATTGTGGTGATATTGATTGTGTTGGGTGTTGGTGTTGGTGATGGCAGTGGTGTGCTGTGTCGAAAAAAAATTGTCCTTTTTTTCTCCCCAGGGGCCAGGTTATATACTTGATCAAATACAGGTCACGGGACAGAGCCATTAGATAACCACCAAGTCTGCCAGCTGTCGGGCAAGGAAGCGAGCAAACGGCAACAAGCAAACAACGGGTAATTACCGCGGTGAAAAACGGAAAAATTCGTCACGAGCATCAGTCACCGGCATCACCGGCATTGGTCACTGGCAACAAGCAAACGGCAATAGGCGAATAGCAACAAGTAGCTGGCCGTGAATCACCAGCATTAGTCACATCATTCACCAGCACTGGCAGTGAATCACCAGTATCAGTCACCAGAATCAATCACATCATTCACCAGCATCAGTGACTAGCAACAATCAAACGGCAACAGGCGAACGGCAACAAGCAAACAGCAACAGGCGAACAGCGACAAGTAACTAGCAGCAAATCACAAGCATTAGTCACTAGGTCTATCCAAACTCGCTGTCCAATGGGCAGAAGATCCCTCGAGCAAAGCAGAGTCCTGGTTGCAAGGCATCAAAGAGGGTCATCAGGATGAGCAGGTGACTGCGTGGAAAGGGGCTCTAGAAGCGCATAAGCAGCACGGGAAGGATCTCCAAAGGCAGTTGAACGCCTAGAGCAATCATCAAGCCGCAAGGCCCGCGAGCTATTCCTTGCAGAAAGGGAAAAGTTTGCACAGGAGCATCCGGCCCAAGCAGAGCCAGGGGCCGAAAACGGTTCATTGCCGACATCTCACGAGAGCCGCGACAGTTACTGGCAACAAGTAAACGGCAACGGGCAGCCAGCATTAGTCACTAGTAGGGCAAACAACAAGAAAACGGCAGTGAGAACAGGTACTAGGTAAACGGCTTGAACGGCAATAACCAAATAATGTTGGGCAACCGGCAAGAGATCTGGAAGCGAATGAGCAGCCGGTACTGAACAAACCGCAAGTATAAAGCGCCTCAACAATTCCCAGATACGTTCCAAGACACGAGCCCAGACACGAGCCCAACAACATTCCATCTCTTCGAAAACATCACTGGAAATAGCCAGGATGGATGAAATGCCCAAGGTAGTGTTGCAACATTGTCATTCGGATCTACACAGACAACTGACATGCCATGTAGCTCGCCCTCGGCCGACTAACCTGACGCCATACGATCAGGTCCAGCATCAGCACCACCACCGCCGCCGCCGCCGCCGCCATGTCCCAACCAAATGAGCAGCAGCCGCAAGATGGGAACAGGACTGTTGACGTCGTCATCCTCGTGGCTGCCATCTGAGCCACGAGAGCGCAAACATGGCACAGCTTCACGAGTATCACAAGCTGACCATCGTTGAGGAAATGAGGCCCAAGGCCAAAGCCGACTTTGTGTACGAGAACACAAACTATACGCCCAGGGTACTGTTGTAATGTTGTCATTTGGATATCCAGACAAACTGACATGCCATGTAGCTTACCATTACCGACGAGCAAGCTGACACCATACGATCGAGCCCACCACCACGAATACCTACGTTATTTTCGATGAAATCGAACGCCGAACCGAAAATACATTACATTACAACTCCCATTCGAGATACACACTGTCCGCCGTGTTGGCAAGCTTTTCCTTTCCTACCCACGAGCGATGAAGCCTGCGATTCTCAACTACGGCCAGACAACCGAACGAATATTCCAGCTCCACCACACAGAGCACCAGCGAGGAACACTGCCCTGCCATGACGACTGGACAGGCCGATACTGTGTTTACGGAGACAGGCAAACCACAATGGCTGTACAAGTACCAGACTGCAATTCTGGGACAGTACAATTGATCGGGTCATATCTGATCTAGCCATTCTCAACGTGGTTGGGGCCGAAAACATGGAGCCAGAAGAAGTGCGCCAATACTCTGCAACCCGACAACCTCGACGCCATAACCGTACCATGGCATCTTGAATGACGGCAAGGCTCCAGCCGCGCCCGAGCCAGAAACCCCAATAGAGATGGCTCAGAAAAGCGTCATGGGCCTAGATTCCCGAACCAAGAGCTTGAGCCTACATACGACTGATATGGATGGCGACGGTGGGTTGACTTTGCTATTTGTCCCGGGGAACGCAATCATAACAACACACAAGACGTAACAAACGACGGAGCAGGAATATAGCAACTCAGAAACATACAATGCCGTCACTCATTTATTGAACAACGACGACTGCAAACAAATGCTTTTGGGCCGCTCATGGCCCTCGTAAAGCACAGAAATAATACTGAGCTTGAACGCTGCCGAAGCGGAACCCAGAACGCTCGAACCACACTCAGCAGAAGCCTCGCTCTTAGGAGCCCATCGAGAATACAAGCCGAGCTGGCAGATCTCAATATTATTCGGAAACTGCGAGAAGATTTCAAAGAGCAACGGGCGGCCCTGCGAGACTTTCGCTCAAAGGACGACATTGACTCTGTTGTTGTGACAAGGGCCTAGCTTGGAGCAATTACTCAATTCATCTAATAACAGTCTTTGGTATCAAAGGTCCTTGGTTTCCCTTAAGGCCTTGAGGGACCGAAGCCGTCTATTTATACAAGAAGTCGGTGAGAGCCTTCTGCCCTAATCCCGTGACCGTAGCCCTTATGTAACCGTGTGACAGTTGTATCGCGCCTCTTTGCAACTCTCTCAAACAGAGTCAACGCGCTGGCAAACTGGCAGGCAACGACGTCCCCAGACGGCTTGGCCACTGAAATCCGACAAACCATGGCCCGGCCATCGCCCCCAAAGCCATCATGCCCAATATTTGCAACTACGCTTCCCTTTTGCAACAGCTACGAAACTCGCGAAGCTATAAGTCGTGGGAGCAAGCTAGCATTACCATAGTGGCGCAAATCGACCAATATTACTCCGTATTATTCGCCTTGAGCATTCTCGAGTTGGTCAAGTGGGCAGCAAACCCGACATCTAATGCCCGTCTTCGTGTCTTGACACTGTCTGCCTTTGAAGAATCAGATGATTTAAGGTTCCAGAAGTCCGAGAGGTCCGAGGGTCATGATACTTGCTTTTTCTAGAGTTTTCGAGTTGGGGCTATGAGGAGGGACATCACAGGGGTACTCGGGGGATTCAGCATGGTACAAGTATAGGGATACTGCGGAT